GTTGAAAGCAATTCATCCAGCCGAGCGCTCACCAGGAAACTGCTAATCAATCAGCTTTGCTGCATCTAGTTAACAAGTTCCTAGCGTTCCCACACATGTTAAAGTATGGAATTGATTTCCCCTTACTTACTGCACACTGCCGATAAGAGACGGCTTGATGTGCAATCATCTTAGTATATTATGAAAGATGTAAATCACTGCACCGAGACTTCCAGATGTGCTTTGCAATAAATTACATTATTTCTTAAGTTCAGTTTTGTTTTTGTTTTTTAATAAACTGATTTGTGTTCCTTCACATGTAGGGACATTTGGATAGAAAGCGTAATCCGTTGCACTACCCAGAGCTTCCAGGGTTAATATGGACAGTTTGTAGGTATGTACATAGTGACGCCATCCTGGATCAAGGTATCCTATCGATATACTCTTGAATAGGGGTGCAAAGATTGAGTATTTGTTCAGAGAAAAAAAGGATTATGTGTATTGACCATAAATTCTGTAAACAATAGGACTAAAGTAAGGGGAGGGAATTAAGGCAAAATAGAAAATATGGCAGGTGAGAGCATTTAATTTGTTTTCACAAATGTGTTCTTAAGGAACACTCCTAGCACTATAACCACTACAGCAGGTTTTAGTAGTTGTGGTTCCATTGTACGTAGTCAAACCAGTTTAGAACGGTTTGACCTCTTACCTGGAACCCACCTGGCAGATGAGTGCTGGCAGCATTTTGCCTGGAGGGCAATTGCAAATACATATTACTATTTGAGACAAAACCGGCAAAGTCCACTCCCTTCCTTAAAATTATGTTAACTTTATAGTAAGACCTAGAATACAATAATACAGTTACATATTGTACAGCGCTACGGAATGTGATGGCGCTATATAAATAATAAAATAATATTGTGCTGTGCGGAAGCAAACACCATAAGTGGAATAGTAGATAACAAAAGAGGGACAGGGCTGAGGGAGGCTGCGTGTGGAGTGGCTACTTGTGTTGTATGAGCATTGAGAAGTGGTTTGTGGGGTAGGAAGGGAATTCCACTTGTGGTTGGGACTCTGCTTGCTGGTTAGTGTGTGAAGGGGATGCGGCTTGTGAAGATGCAGGTCTATGGATGGGGCTGTTCTGTGGCAAGTGTTTGCTCACACATGTTTAGGTGCTACTAGTGTGTGTGGAGATAATGTAATGTGCGTAAGGTAAACACAGCGCTGCATGTCATAAGGGGGCAAAAAAAAATAAAGACATTATTAAGGGGGGAGACTCTACAGTTTATTTCTTCTTAGCTCTTCTTTCCTTTGGGCCTTGGAGGGAGAGGATTGGTTTCTCACTAAAGGGCCCTCTTCAAAAATCCCATTATACAGACCAGTTAGAGATTATATTTTCCCAAACTTGATTGCTCTAGACTCGAGGGTATTTTACTAGAGTACCAACAATGGCAGCCTTGGCGAGGAGTATGATTTTTATTTAAATCCAGGAAAGTAGAGCGTGCCAGTTTAAGAACTGACAGATGGCTTAGTAATGGGTGGAGTGGAAGACGAGTCTAACCATGCGTTAGGGAGGGTGGGATCTGATATTTGCTTTTTTGGCAATCTTCTCAGGATAGTACGTAAAGTTAAGAGCTGTGAGGTTGGCAAGAGAAGGAACAGTACTGTGAAAATACGTCTTCAAGGTTTTTAATTGGTGTCTAGGATCACAAGCAGCATTGATTAAGGAATTAAAGTATTATTGTTTAACAATGGAAAGTGCTTAGCTACAGTAACAGCATTAACTTATAGTGCGGCAATATGAATATAACAAGGGATGTCCTCCAGATTCACTCAGCTGTCTTGGAACACATCTGGCGCTATCAAGTTAACGGGCACAGGGTGGCATTCTGATTGTCAGAGAGTGGTTTGTGCTACATTCGCCAGCAAAGAGAAACGTGCAGTCATACAGGAAGTCGCAGTATTGGGATAAAATATTGTTTATATGGAAAAAGAGGGAAGACTGAAAATTTCTAGACCAGTGGTTTATAACTCGTGTGCCTTAAGCCTCCTCCGGGAGTGACACCAACACAATGACTTATGTGCTGAGAAAGGCTGAATGCAATTCTTACATACCCCCACCTAAAATAAATCTCTGCATTAAAACTGGTGCTCTCATCTGGTATGTAATTAGAACTAGCAAGGTAATTTAGCGAGAAGCATGCATACCTAACAGGTGAGGCTGATAAAATGTGAAAATTTGCATCTGGCAATACTGTCCTAATTAAAAGGAACACTATAGGTTCAGGAAGACAAACATGTATTCCTGACCCAGTAGTGTTAAAACACAACCTAGCACTCCTAAATATAGTAAAATATTACCTTTATTCCAGTCTGCTGTTGCTGGCTCTGCCTCCTTGGCTGACATTAGAAGTGGTGATCTCAACCAATCACAATGCCTTCCCAGAGGAAAGCAGATCAAGGGCAAAGCCCGCTCAAGCCAAACACAGCTCAGGCCAATCAACATGTCCTCAGAGATGCATTGAATCAATGCATATCTATGATGCAAGTTCAGTGACTCCATGCAGAGTCAGCAATTACCAATTTAGATTGTTACATAGATTGTGTAGGTTTGTGATGGTGCTGTAGAATATGATGTTAGAGAAGATAAGAGGAGGAGTGCTAGAAATGAAAAATGGGAGCCTGGCTAAGAGGTGCTACAAGGGGAGGTGAGAATGTCTGAGGGAGCAGCAGATCTAGATGACTGCAATGTAAAGTACAAAATAAGGATATCATTAAGAAGATATAAGACAGTCGTTGCTTCTTGGTTACATGCAATTGCACTCTAGACACGTCAACTCCAAATAGCACAATAACGTATAAAATAGAATTCATTGAACAATTTTATCCTGGTTTTGAGTTTTATGCAATGCCCAAGTACACACGGAAAGGGCTTGTGAGCCACATTTGCTCTTTCCATTATTAATGGTGATAAAGTTATAGCATCTCTGCAGATAAAAATGCAGTTGGGGATATGATATAGATCAGTTAAGATAAATAAAAAGCCAACAGTGTTGATTACTCTGATAGCTCCATTATGGAATAATTCATATTGAGTAATTACAATAAGAGCAAAATAGCTAAAAGCCTTCACAGGCATAAATGTACATATACTTACTGCACACAATAAATGAAATATGCATCTTATTTTCTAGCAAATAACCTTTTAGAGAAAAGCAAGTAGCCTTGCATTTTGATAAGGACTCGTCTATATCGCTGCCTTTCCATCACAGTTTCTGTATTTTTTGTTTTGATCACAAAACCAGCAAGGCCAACCACCACATTGTACATCTCTGACATGTTGGGTTTAACCCCTTAAGGACACATGACGGAACTATTCCGTCACAATTCCCTTTTATTCCAGAAGTTGTGTCCTTAAGGGGTTAAGATCAACTGTATAAGGAATAATGTGATATGACAAAGGCAGACAAATGTTTAACAAACAAGACACCAAGAGCTATGAACTCCAGTTGGCCTGAGCATGAACAACCACCACACTTTGCGCATGTCAATGTGTTGATACACAGGAAATTTTCAGTTTTTTAAATATATTTTTAGCTTATATTGAGAGAGAAAAAAAAGCCTAAAATGTGGCATTTGGCACGCTACGTTGTTAGTTATTTGTAAGCTGTAGGCTACTCTAATGCAAGCATGATTCTCAGGATAAAAGCGCAATGCTGTATACAAACAACCAATTGGAATCCTAAAAGAGGAATATAGACAAGTGTTGGGTTTCAAAGGAGAAAAGATCCACCTGGCCCATGTCGCATAGTTCAATATGTACATGTGATGTCAACTTTGAATTTTATTAATAAAATAAAAAAAAGCTAAAACTTTGCAGCTGATGGCGGCACAGGTGCTGACACTTACGCAGTATATAGTATATTAGAAAATTCAGAGTGCACCCATGAACTAAATTAATACATACATGTATGTATATGGAGCAATATATGTATAGACTTAATCTTATTTAGGGTTGTACACCAGACAGATGTAACTACTTAAAATGGAAAAACCACCCCCCTAGGTGAGATTTATTGAAAAGCAAGACATCCATCTAAAATGGAAGCTACTTAAAACATTACTATGTCTGTACTTAGGAATACATGTCAGATAAGATAATTAATGTGGCGTTATTTAAGAGATAGCAAAAAGGTCACTTTGACATGATCTATGATGAAAATGTTGACTAAGGGATTGTGGTATGTGTAATGGATTCAGATATGATACATTGTGACATGATTTTGCAGCACAAGTTAATTTTAAATGTGTAACTAGAAAAATGGTATGTGGAAAACTTGTTTCATATGAAATCCAAGCTTCAAAATACATTTGCTTCCACGTTAGCAATCGCATTAGTTTTTCTTATTTTCGTTTTATTCATGATTAATAGTATTGCATATCCTTGCTTTTCTGTTAACTGAGAATTTCAAATTCTTGGAATTAGTTGATACAAAAATTAAGATCCATATTTGATATGAGTATCACACATACCCAAGGTCCACTTATTATAGGTTTGACCTATCGAACAAAGTTTCTCTTTACTCCATGTCATTTATTTGATGCAAAGTCTAGTTTTTGTATTCTCAATGCAATGCTATTTTGTTTACTAAAAATGGTATTGTAGTTACACCAATACATTGATTTTAAGTTTACCCTATATAATCAGAAGCCACTCTTATTGGGCATCCTACATTAAGCTGTTTTACTTGTGATCAAACAGATAAAGAATCACAAACATTACCAAAAGTCTACCACCAGAGTGAAATGACTAATGCTAGAAAAAGAACACTGGATAAAACAATTTAAAATTGTTTAGATGATCCTTAGATCTACAAATTCCACTTGGAATATAGAATGCTCCAGGACTTCCACATTGGTTTAGATGTGTTTTAAAAAAAAAAAAAAAAATGACTGTCATTACCCAATATCTGCATCCAGTGTTGGACACAGCAACTCCCTGCACGAGTGACTCTCCTGGCCACCTTTTCAACATAGTCTGGAGCTTTTTAAGGGCAGATTATAAAGGATGTCCGGTGAGTTGAGAATGAAAATTACATACAGCTGATATGAATGACAATACCGTAAAAAAACAAAAAAATTGTTTTGATTTAGATATGGTACTAGTCACTTGGTAAATCTTTATATGGCCTACTTTGACAACTTATGCATGTGAGAAAAATATGTGGGAATCTTCACTACAGGTGAATTGTAACACAATACATGAACTGCAGAAAGTAAAACAAAATCTACGAGGATGTTAACATTTTATTTTCTAGAATTCGTATAATTTGTCATGACATCTCATAATTTATTTCTTTAATCTTCAAAAAAAAAAAATGCTTCTACGATGGATTCAGTTGGCTTGATTTTGCAGTGCTTCTGCCATGAACAGTTTGCCCATATTTTGAGAGGTGAATTCCTTGATGTTCTGGATATAAGTGTTAATTTGACCTGTGAGGAAAAGAAAACATTTCTCAAATTAAAAGTGTTGACAAAATCATGGTTTCAACATCCTGTTAAACATGGCGCTACGAGAAGCAGTATATGCAGTTTATTGTGTGCAGAACGGAGTGTTTCCTTGAGAAAAACCAATTAAAACAATATTACATGAATTTAAGACATTTTTAGGAGTGTATCATGGGATGATTGCAATATTTGTGGGACACTGTAGGCAGTATGACCATTTCATCTCACTGAATTTATTGCAATGAGTCCACCGGTGCCGTTTCTCCATTCAGTATTAAATAGACATGTGTTGATTCATTTGACAATTAATTCATTTGACTAGCTTAGAACCTCTTTCTATTTGATGTATTTTTAAAAACTTTTTTATTTTTAATAACAAAGAGACAGTGGTTCTATGCAGGATGAATCTACAAATGCACATGCATTACTACTGGAGTGATGGCAAAGGAGATTACACACATTCTTCTAGCCATACCACTTTATACCAGCAATAGGTACTCTCATAGGCTGAAATAAACCAGCTGACATACTCCTCCAAGTCTTCCTCCTTGGCCCAAGAAGCACAGAGGGCATGGGCTGCTGGGGACTCTGTTAGCATTTAAACATCAAAAAGGGTAAAACACTAAATGAAAGAATGGCACCAGGAGTGTCCAGCCATTATGACCACTTCAAGTTCAGATCCTCAAGTGTCCCTTCATGGGTACTATTCACGTTGGAATAGTAATTTATAATAGTAATAGTTTCCTAGTAATAATTCTATGTAAAGTTTTTATATGCATAGACTACGCAAACGGTACATTACAGGGTACAGGACAAATAAAAGGATAATGAGAGAGTCAAGCAATTTAAAAAAAGGTTTGAAAACAAAGTAAATTTAAAAAGTCAATTAATTAGAATTAATATTCTCCTGTAGTTTTAATATTTAAACAAATCATGTACTTATCTACACCCCTTATTAGATTACAGCACACCACTTAGGAATCAAGGTGTTAGTTTTTATTTTTAAAAACAAAAACAAGAAATATACATACAAAACCTGTGAGATCAGAATACCACCATCTGTACTAACAGTGTCGAAAAGGTCACGGCTATGCTGTACGTTCCATTATGGAGCCCGGGATGTAAATGCAAAATGTAATTACAGGAAAGTAATTGTTTTTATTTCCCTCCCAGTGCATTGCTGGGTCTCTCAGGTACATGAAATGTGTGGTATATAATTGTGCTTTTTGTTATTCCTTGTAAACGTCTGGGTAAGAAAGTCTCTGCAGTTGAAATCTGTTTTATACTTATTGTCGCTGAATATAAATTGTCAAAAAGAAGAAAAAAAAAAAAGAAATCCTCCCTGAACAATTCGAATCATAGCACAGCAGCTATCCAAGTAGAAAATGAATCGCGGACCTTACAGAGGATCATGTGCAAGCAATTTCATTTGCGTATCTGCAATGCTCTTCTTATTTAGCCATAATAACTGAAGCTTGAGGGAGGATATGGGCCTAATAAATAGCATATTTTCACCCTGGATTCCTTCCATGAAGGAAGAGAGTAAATAATTGAGCAATAATCAGTATTCACCATTGTCTGTCTGGCAAACTGAAAGAGCATTAGCTGAATGAATTAATGCATTGAAAAATATTATGCTCTGTCTATTGCAGAAGCCTGCCTTACATATGATTCTGCATACTTTCCTTAACCATTATATACAATTAAGTTGCAATTAGGAGGACAAAAAATGTAATCCAGATTTGGTACAGAGTCTCAGGAGTCTGATAATCATTCTCACTGTATACCAAAGGAAAATATTAAATATTGCAGTAGAGAAAAATGGGGAAGCACTGCCTCCTTGTGCAAATTAATAGTGCACAGCTCTTATTTGAATGCATATGTATTATAATGTATGCATACATCACAGTCCTGAATACATTAAATTAACATAGTGTTAACAACACAAAGCTTTATTACACTGTAAGGCCCCTCTAACCCTGTGGCTTTCAAAGGGTTAATATAAATAAACCCAAGTAATCTCATACAAGCAGGCATTAAGTTTTTAGAGGACATGATACAAATGGGGTACATTGACACTGTGGCAGGCCATATACTGTAACTAAACTTCCATTGGTTTTGCCAAGATTAGGTGCTTTAAAAAAAATTTAAATCTGTGAGCTTTGAAGTTGTGTATGAGTGAGTGCGCTGGATCTCATCTACTATGTGGCGTAGACACTGAACTGTAAGTATATCAGCTTCTTCACAAGATCTCCATTGTTTAAATAATTTGTTCTCCTGGCACTTTGTGTATGGATGAAAGTGAAAAGAACACATACTGCTAATTGATAAGGAACTGGTATTAATCTGCTGGTAATCCTACCTGCAATCAGAAGTGAATCCATTCTTGGCGGTTGTGAAGGAGGCTTAAACATTTTGCTAACATCTTCTTCAGGTAGCGGTGGCTCTCCACGACTTTGACGCTGAATGTTTTCTTGTTGTCGCCTTTGCTGGTACTAGAAACCATTAATAATCAGATTAAATTACAATTATATACTGAAGATTTAAGAAATATTTAAAGAATAAAGCATAAAAATTTTATTACGATGTTCCCTTTATTTCAACTGTATGACAGAAACATAAGTGTTTTACACAGAAGGAGGGGAGATCTTAAAAATGCTTATAGGCAAATGGTTGCACAAGCACAAGCAGCACAGGGTAATCAGGGTAATCTGTGCGGATCACATCTTCCAGCTCAGAGAACAGCAACATTTTCTTTCACCTTTACAAAATTAAGTTTGATCTTTTAATTACCTTCAACAAGAATTTAAATGTACTCGTCTGCTCCTGGAGCAATTTTAACATTACTAAGCTTTGCAGGCTGCCATAAAATAGGTTTTATAAAAATTTAAAAAACTATAAATGATTATTGCATGCTCAATGAAATCTATCTTATTGGAGGAGCCAATAAAATATACGTGTATTTGACAGGAATTAGCAGGAAAAAATTACTAGTGTGAGGACCTATGGGACCTTTATCAACACCTGGTCAATGAAGCAAAGTATTAATGTTGATTTTCAATATTCTATGCATCATATGCAGAGGTTTTTCACAGATGGTAGCCTATTACTTGAATATTTTATCCTTCCAAACCACAAAACATAGGTTATGGAATTATTTTCTGGTGAGACACGTTAAGTTTTGCTGTACACAAAACTAATTTAAACTTTCTGGTTTGTGCCTCAGGTGATTAGAGAGCTTTTCAGTGGTGTCCATTAATAAAGTAAAAGCCCTCAAATGTGGGAGCAGACATGGGTACCTTCTAAGGTCATATCTGCACAAAATTGGCATTTGGTGGGAGTAAAATCATAGCAATCTAATTTGAACCAATAGCATAAGGAGAGCTTTTAAAAGAACATAGCCAGCACCATAACCACTGTAGTGTGCTGTATTGGTTATGATACCAGAAAGCCATGGTCCCACTCTTCCTCGCCAATGTTAGTAGTCAAACAACTTGGCAACGGTTTGACTTCTTACCTTTGGTCTGCCTGGTGCCTCTTCGAAGAAGGAAGTGAGAGCCAGAAGCTCCTGCAGTAGAGGGCCAGCTAATTGGTTGTGTGTGTCCGCTGATCACTCTCAGTCATAGTGCTAAGCCCTGCATCACCATGCTTATCTAAGAGCTGAGAGCTTCCGTCAGAAGGCACAGAACAGTGCCCAACCACAAGTAATAGGTCAAACCGTTTGGCAACATTGGTCTTCATTACTAAAGCACACTGTAGTAAGAACTTTCAATTATTCGCCCATTTAACATTCGACTAATAATCCCAGCTAGATAGACTTGGGTGGTCTACAGCACCAACAATGACCAAATTGCTCTGTAATTAAAAAAATATATACAAACTGTATCAAGTACCTAGCCTAAAGGGAAAGTGACTTGATCATTGCCATTGAGGACTTGGATAAAATCTAATTATTTTGCTGGACACTGAAAGGTAATTGAAGTATAAACGTCTGCCAAGTTCCTTTGATCTGTTGGATATGTTACATATGTAGATTCCTTTAAACTCTTGTAAAATAAATAAATGCAAATACGTTTCAAGTTGAAATGAATTGCTCTTGAGCACAAATACGGATATATTTAATTGACGCTGGGGACATTAACTATGTTGTAATGAAGCAAAGCCAAAGCAATTAGAAGTAAATGAAGCCTGCAAGGCTGAACTTTTTTCCTCTGGTTTCATACGATAAAATTATGTTCTTGTGAGCGATATTCTGCAGAAGATAACATGGAGAACACACTTAATGCTGCTTTTCAGCTTGCCTCCGAAGCAATGTCACAATGTTTTCTGGGATGGATTTGTTTTAATTAACCATATTTAGGTGAATTCTCCTTCAGCAAGACAAATAGTCTGTTATGGAAAAATTAGGAATCTCTTACTTAGGGAACAGTGAGTAACATTTCTAGACCATATATCGCTGAATACCACATAGTATGCAAAATAAATATATTACTACTAGTGATGTCCCGAACGGTTCGCCGCGGACAGCGAACATATGACCCTGTACCTCACAGTCAGCAGACACATTCCAGCCAATCAGCAGCAGACCCTCCCACCTCATGGACAGCTCACTAAGAATGCAGCTTCAAAATGGATGCTGTCCAGGAGGTGGGAGGGTCTGGGAGGGAGGGTCTGCTGCTGATTGGCTGGAATGTGTCTGCTGACTGTGAGGTACAGGGTCATATGTTCGCCGTCCGCGGCGAACGGTTCGGGACATCACTAATTATTACTAATATGAGGCATTCTGGCATATACAGTCCGTCACCGATAAACTATGATATAACATGCTCTATTTTTTTTATACATAAAAAGTTATTTTCCAAGTGTTGCTAAAATTGTGAAATCTATTTTCTCTAATAAAATAGGAAACATTTCAGACTTTCGTTGCTCTTTAATAGTTCAGTCAGCCTCTTGAAGAAGATGTGCTTTGACATTCTCACACAACTATGAGTTACGGTCTCCCTCACGATATGAACAACAGCACCTGACTCCCATCTCCTGCTATGTGCACTTTTCCAGATGATAAAACCTACCTGATTTTTCTGTTGTGTTTGCTTGCTTGCATTCCTCAGGTATGTATTGAATTTTACAATGTCCTGGCTCATTTCATCCACCCTGTCCATGAGGAGTTGAAGGCTCTTCTCCAGATGATTGCTATGTAATGAGAGAGAATGTAAGTATGCCTGAAATATATCTGATGGGTGATCACAAAAGAGGAGGCAAGTAAATTACAGTCAGCCACTTGAGTAATGAATGCCATTCAGATAAACGGTACACTATACAGTACCAATGCGTAAATGGAGTTGCAGTGAACAGCACTTAATGAAAATGACCACTAAAAAATAGATTAGAAGCTTTAGATACTATATGGAGTGAAACAAGCATATATGAGAGGCTACTTTTTAGCACCCAGCTGAACATCAAATCAATGAAGAGATACTTTAAAAAAAAAAAAAAAAATAGTCAATCAAACCGCTGGTTGTCTTTCAGTGGTTCTCAAGAAACAGCAAACTATAAATAAAATCCAATAAGGAACATAAATTGTATCTGACAAGCATTCAGTTGGCTTTACCTGTGGATGAGTGGAACACTGTATTTTCCTTTTTTTTTTACCACATACCATAACTAATACCCAGTTTGCCACTTTAATGTTGCTGGGTTCACAGAAACTTTGACAGGAAACATTCTCCAAACCCTTCTTGGGCTTATTGGAACAAACTCTGTACAATTGGTACCATGCTGGCAAAGGGCATCACAGTACCTGTTGGAATCATTGTCAATACAGAACTTTTGCTACAATTATGCATTTATCTATTTTACTGGAAAGGAAAAATTGTTATTTGTAATGGATAATGGGGTTGATGTGTACTATAGTCACTGTTGCCACCCAGGAGTAGTGGGAGTTTGAGCGCAGGACTTATTTTTATTTGCTTTTGTATTATACATCCATTTTACAATGCTGCCGCTCACCCCACGTGTTCCCTATTAAGGGTCTCTTTTTTTTTTTTTCCAGTGTCAGATGTTTTTACCTGAAGCTGAAACATGCAGGGTGAATTGTTAGCGTAGGAGAGGTTTGCCTTGACGTGGCAGGTGAGCTTACACTTTAATGGCCATTACAGTGATACTGAAAACCTCCAATTATTTAAATGTGTATAGGGATTTAGGATAGTGCGCAAGTAATTTTTCTTTGGTTTTTATTGTATTTGTTGTAGTTATTGCTGCCTCCCAGGAAGTGGGAGTTTGAGCGCAGGACTTTTTGCATATTTGTATTAATTAAAATATGAATAGCTATCCAACTACAATCCCTGTGACTGTCAGCCATCCATAATATGCCTTTAGAGATAAGAATATCCATGCTGTGTCCAGACTATATAAGACTAGGGACTAATGAAAGTATTTAGAAAATTGGGCAGACTAGATGGGCCAATTGGTTCTTATCTGCCGTCACATTCTATGTTTCTACTATGCAGAGAATCATGGGAACTGTAGTATATCGAGAATTGGAGAAATTCTCTGTTTGTTCATAGAATACATCTGGCATTCCCATTGCTACTTGAATTTTGCTTTAGGGCTGCTGCTTTTGCCATTTTCACTCGTTTTCTAACGTGCTTAATCTAACATTGAGTTCAGTACAGTGTGTCATGATAAAGTGACATGGTACAAGCCAAGAGGACCAGAACGGGGACTTCAAATTCCCCATGTGTACTGCAGTCTTGGATCACTTTTCTCCTCTTTTTACGACACCAAACACTGAAACAAAATGAGTTGCTTGAACGGACTTTATGTGAATCTCTGGGAATTCTGCACAGAAACGCTGAAACAGGGACTTATTGTTCAGCACTGCAGTAATGTAGTGTTTGCTTGGGTCGCCGGGGAAACGGGGAACTAGAAACAGATAACTTAAACAGATGTGCTCCGAGACATGAAGTAACTGATAAGTATGATCCAAGTGCGCAGGCAGTTTTTCCACAGATTTTCAATGGTGTGACACTCCCCCTGTTTCTTCAATGAAAAGGAACAGGCTGCGCCAGATTTCTCCAATCATTGTTTTTACTTTGCAAAAAAAAAAAAAAAAACCTATCCATATTAAATAAATAATATATATGTATATTCCCCAGTTTCTTTGGAAGAATAATTAACCAATGCCAGATCATTTGTTTAGAATGCTTGTTGAACATTTAACTTGGAAGCTCACCGCAAATAAATTCTACACCAGTAAATGCTATGAAGATGCTCTGCTTGCAATAAAACATTACACTGCACCTTCTCACAATAAATATTAACCCTTTCAAGCATTAAATGCTTCTGCTTTTATAAACGTGGTTTTTAGAACTTGTTTGCAAGCAGCGTGTGAAAGGAACTATAGAACTTCACAGAAAAGCGAATCAAGGCTGCATGTAGCAAGTGGCAATAGATGGAATGGGGCAGTAAAATAAAATAAAATGTAGCCCTTTGGCAGACAGTTCATTTGGACGCCCCCCTTCCTCCTCGAGACAACTGATTAGCTGCTTACTCCCACAGATCTGGCGTCTTTATGGTTTACCAACTGTTAGCTGTGGCAAGTAAAAAGCAGAGTTGTAAACAAAAGAAAAAATGTCCAAAATTAGATTATTTTTAACACCCTTCAACTGTGGCCTAAATTTTCTCAGCTCAGTTTAGTGCAGGGCTGCCCAATAGTTAGATCCCCAGTTGTTGTAGAACTACAAATCCCATAAGTTGTAGTTCTACAACATCTGGGGACCTATTGGGCAGCCCAGGTTTAGTGAAAGAGACCATAAAGGTATATTGTTAGCACTGTCTGACCAAGATTATGTTTCTTAGGGCACAGAGGTAAGCATGAGGAGCTGCAAATAAATTGAAAGGAAGACAATTAAATGTAGACTTTGCCTGTAGGGGGGCGGGAGGGGAGGGGGAGGAGTAGTTACACTACCTAATGGCCAACTGGCAACCTAAATTATTATGAACTAAATTTCCCATGATTCTCAGCCTTCCTTTAGCCGTGGTTAGTCCTCCTAACACTAGTGTCATGCTTAAAAAAAATAAAAATAAATAACCTATCCACTTAAAGGAAAACCATTTTTCTGCAAACATGTCCATATGGTTTCAATAAAAATGGATTTGATTGCCATACGAATCTTGCGCAATAATGATTTTCCTTTGCTCAATTCAATTACTCCGTAGCAAACGTAATAGTGTGTCCAAAACCCTTTTTCCTCTAAAGTAATATACGTCAGAATATAAAAAAATAAAATCATGAAACGTTTGTTAATAAATCTGAGGATGATAAACAACAAATGTGTTTCATGAGAGCGAGTTACACATACATGAATATGTATATGTAATCAGATTAGTTTTGTCATTCTTTCTTGTATTTTAAAAGCATTTGTTCATAAAAAAAGTATATTGTGTTCAATTCAGAACAAAACATGTTTTTAATACAATAAAAACAGAAACTGCACATGTAGTATGGAGTTTTAGTTAATTTGGAAATTGGGCACTGGACTTCGAATTCTCTATTAGACTGTCTGTTCTCATTTTAAATTTCCTCAACCATAATGAGTTTCCATTTTACACAGTCTGCTAAATAAACCTCAATACATACCTGAAGTGCATAAAACACAAAACAGCGCTAGACATGATAATGAGGTCCTCGGGTCACTGTTTATATATGTGACTCTGCAGAGATTTAACAGCTAGGTTCTCATCAAGCTCAGCCAGCCCAGAGGGCTAACCTTAATACTGGGGAAATTTGGGAAGGGATAAGGAGGCCACAGAAAGCATGCTCTGTCATAAACAAGAAAAGGAGGTTTTCGTTTCGTAGGAGTGAAGTTTTAAGCTGAATAAAATAAAAATCAGTTTTAACATTTGCAGAATATTATGTGATCCTGATTCTTAGTGTGCTGCTAAGTGTGTAATATGTGGGTTCATTGATGTACATTGGGCAACCATTAAAAGAAAAACAGCGCTCAAATAAGAGCAGCATGCGACAGTAATACCATAAATGCTTAACCTGCAACCGCACAATTACCTGAAATAATGTATAACTGTATATGTAACAGAATATAGATCTATTTAAAAGTGCCAATTACGCTAACCAATAGTAAAAATTACTTATTTTTCTTCAAAGCAAATAATTTTCAAATCCTATACACAATGAGCCATACAGGTCCCTAGCAGTCTGAAATTGAAGGGAGTATCAGACAGAATTTGTATGTTGCAGTTGTTGCCTAGGAGGGTAACTCCCATCAATCTCAGGCAGCATGGAGTATATTTGTCCCTTTATGCCTGGAGAGAAAATCAATTGGATTAGGTGTGTTGCATTCCACAACTGCAACATAAGCACAGAACAGTCACTGGCATTACAGCTGTTGTGAAACAAACTCAAAATTAGAACAAACATGGACGTGTGTGTTATATGCCATTTTTGCTATACATTAGTTTATGTGGTTTGCAATACTTCCAGAAGCCCGCCATTGTAATTTTTCATAACACATGGATTCACTGTTGGGTCTAAAATACAAACTTCACTCTAACTTTCTAGTAACAATTGCTTTAAAAAAAAAAAAAAAACACATCTAAACGCCATACAATTTTGTCTCTTTCGTCATTTCCTGGGCAATGTGTGTTATTTGGATATTTCTTTGTGCGTGGGATTTTGATTCTGGAAATGTCTCTCTCATGCATTCTCTGCTGGAGATACATTGTACTTTATGGAAGATCAAATACCTCTTAATTGCCCCTCGAGTACATGCGCACGCAGAAAGGAAAGAGAACTTATGCCTGCTTGTTTGTTTATAAAAGATCTATAATGCAGGGCGTGTGTCTTGCATTGTCATTTCCAAGTCAGCTCTGATAGTAGTCATGACAAACAGAGAATGTACAAAAAATGCAGACACATAACAAATTATGCAGATGGAGCAGCACATACATGCATTTATGTATGAACACATCTCAGAGAGGACATCATGAAGATGCAATACAAATAGTACATAATGCATATATTTGGGAACTTTATAGAAAGGTGATGGCTAACTGGCATCCAAGATGTTTCCATGATGCTCAACGAGCATTCAGGGTTTTCACTCGGTTTGCACTAGCAGACATCTGAAGTCCCACCGGGTCTCCCGATAGGTCATAGTCTGCGTCTCTGGCAGCCTTGAGTGTCATGCAAAAGCGGCACATGTGCCATAGGTTGCTGACCCCTGCGCTAGGTGATACATCACATTCATCATACTGGGATATAAGTAAACTATATGCTGTATATGCTAGTACATGAATATGTATACCACAGTATGGAGGTACCTTTATATTCTGAAACTCATGGCTATATGTATTTATATAAACTAATTTGTTTATAAATAGTGTAGCTAGGACTGTTTTTGCTTTAGATATGAATAAAAGTATGTACTAAATGTAAGACTACAATAAAAATAAAAAAACACAAACATTTACTCTAGAAAACATTCTGCGCACTGTCAATACGATACAAATGTGAACGCTACCCAGTTTGTTCACAGCAGTCGGATCTGTGAGTGTTTTACAAATAATAAAAAATATATGAATTATACGTAGCAGATGAGAATGTTAATTTAACTGCCTCGGCTCAGTGCACATAAAACACAAGTGATTTGGTTATTAGCCCAGAGAAGCATGTTACAGCTCAAGGCAGTGCAAGTTTAAAATACGACATAAAGCCTATAATTTTTCTACAAGTCTGGAAGTTGACTTAAAGAAACAAGGAGCACCATACCAACCACAGCTCATCGTGGTCCAATAAGCCTTTGGCTTGCTAAAAACTGGGAACATTGCAGCAATCGCTGACATCATGCAGAAGTTTGTGAAAGGCAATAAGCTGTGATGCAGCTTAGCTCAGAACTAATAACTTATCACATGGAAAGACTTTTATATGCAGTGCAGAAGTGAACCTTTGTGGCTAGATTGTGGTATGAGAAAAGCCAAGGGACCTCCAGTTTTTACCAAACAGCTCAAAAAAGTGAAACAGGAAATGGAGGAACCGCATCTAAAGACTCCTTGCATTATTACAACTACAATAAATTGTATTTTAAAATCTTTAAAGCTACAGTTGGTGTATAAGCGGGGGTGGGGAGGATGGTGTAGTAGCAGCCGAGAACAAACATACAATAAAAGAATCTAATATGTATTCTGTCCTGTGGGTTAACCTTTTTAAGTACTAGGGCTGCAAATGAATGGATAACAGCAAACAAAAGATGCATACTGTCAGAAAAAGCTTTTTCATAGCCTTCCCCGGAAATACTGTATGGGAAGCAAGCATACGTTCTCCATTAACTATAATGCACAGATCCAGACATTAAGAGTTTATAGCGTGTAGCATGACATTATATTAGCTCTGTTTTATATCGTTACTGGATCAGCTCAACTGTAACACCTTCGTTCTGAATATCCCTTCGCTCTGCCGTACATTTCATTCCTGGGCTCCACAGGAAATGAGCACAATCTAAAGTTTTCAGAGCCAATAAGAAGATATATAATGTGCTTCTTGAATGGCTGCATAACAACTATTTAATACAATATATACATTGACCTAAGTGGAAGAAATTAGATTTCTTTTTCTTGTGACTTTGTCTTCAAGCGAATGGCAGAATTATATTTTTTTTTTCCCTATAACCACAAAGCAATAAATGGTAGCAGCCTGCCCTAGGCTGAACTACAGCCATCGGTTTATACCAGTGTTGAGTTAGTGTATAAAAGCTTCATGAATCAAGAAACACATTTGTAGCTGTCAGCAGAGCTGGCTGTACTTCTGAGGTAGATCACTGTAATTTTGCCAAGGATTGGGGGGAAAATAAATTAATAAGGTGAAGTCTAGAAGGCCTTTGTGATAAGATATCATGCCTAGGAAATGGCGACATGAGAAATTAATTTTTACTTCTACACAGAAGGATTTTTGTAATATAGATGGGACGATCTATTAACAGAGGGGGAAAAAGAACAGAAAGGTAAAACTATGCAGACTTGCTGCAGCTGAAGAGACAGTGCTGGACATCAACTCAAAATATTTAGTTAGTCCAAAGCAGAGAATTCTAAGTAGTGAAAAAACAAAGTCAACAAGGACCAAACCACAACCCTGGCCATAATTCCAGGAACAAAATTTACTATCACAAATGTCTTTTTATGGAAGGCACGACCACGGATGTCTCACAACAAAGGTGTTAATCGACTCTGTAATAGTATAACTGGTGGAGTATTAAACAAGCTTACACACACACACTAGGCATGAGATAATGTGTCGGATTGTTCCCTCCCAGACCTGCCTGCAGTAGTAACGGGAATGATCTGTGCTTTTCCTGTTGCTTTCACCTTTTTGTTTTCTATCTCACAGTTTGGTACAAACAGTATGATACACAGAAAAAGTATGTGGTAATTCTATTTATTTTAATATACTGCCCAAAATGAGCTGTGTTGGAAAAGGGAGCCTGGTACATGAAGCAGGAAATGCACTGGGCTTAAAAGATTTCTCCAACCACTAAAACCACTTCAGCTTTTTTAAGTGGTCATGGTGGTAGAAGCCTGGAACACATCCAGATATTGGAGTTGTGAGCCAGGGGCTATTCACACTAGCAGCACACACGACTGACGCAGCCCGGAACCACTAATGTCAATTATGTGCATATTTTACATGTCTCCCTAGTCTGCTCTCCCTCCCACGCAGCGTCCACTTTTCTATCCCCTCGGCTGTTCTAACCCTCCCCTTGCGGGCTCAGAGCATTCGCATGCCTGCTGAGCCCATTCAATTCCCCAATCATGAGAATCTACGATTCAACATCACTGCGGCTCCTGTGACTTCAGATGGGGGCATGCCGTGCATCGCCAGGTAAAGGTAAGCAAAAGTTATTATCAAACTCTCTTCCTTTTCTGGGGGGACTGAAAGAATAGTATTAATAGGGAATTATTCTAATTAAATCAAAAAAGTGTTGAAGAAGCCCTTTAAGGAAAGATTGAAAAACTGGCATTTGAACTGTCGGTTCATATATCTTACTACAATGTTTATTTTTAAATGCCAAAAAAGCCAAGAGGAAACCCGCAGCGAGTAATCCTTCGACTCTGAATCACCAGTAGGAGCCACAACTGGAATATCTCAACCAGTCGCCACTGATCATCTAAACATAAAAAGTGAGGCACATGTCTGAGGCTGTTTGAGAACAAACACTAGGAGCCTTGCGTCTAGATGCCTTTTAAATGGTTCCATTTTAATATTTCAGACTACATGCCTAGGATGGGAGGCATGGTAACAACCTAGGTGCTGCCACTTTACCTCTGGAAAAATATCACATGGCGGTACGTAGCAGATAAAACTTAGAACTGGATTTTACTTTAACAAAGGTGGTTAGAGCTTTTCTTAACATAAGGCATGATCATGAATTATGCTGATTAAGTGCTCACCTGCTAGACAGACTGAGAAGTTCGTGTTTTTCAGTAATAGGAGCCTTCCTATCCAGCTCCCAGGTCAGGACATTGATGAGATGTGAGTTCTTGATTACAATCGGGACTTCTTCAAACATGTGTTCGAAAGCAACGTTTGCCTTTTTCAGTCTGCAAAGAGGACACGCAAGACATTTTATGACAATCCAACTGGGGGGTAATGAATTGCTGGATATTCTCCCTAAAAGCCTCTTTACATTAATTTGAGATACATTAAACAATGTCTAAAAAGTGTACTAACTGATCTACATATTTACCTTCAATTCTCGTAGCACAGAGATTCCAAAATTAACATACTATTACAGTCTTAAGGTGATACTTTTACTATGACATGCGTTTAAAGCATTCTTTTTCAACATATAGTTTATATTTTGCATGTATAGCATACTGGAGGAAAAAGGGAGTTATTCACATGGCGTGGGTCTGTGATTCTCCACTGCATAATCTCTCAACCATCCTTTGCGAGCAACTCGTACCTCACAGCTTCACCATGCCAAGATCCACACAATGTCAATACACATACCCTTCAGCAGAAAAATCTTTTTCTTTACAGACTTCCATCAGTTTGGGCGTTAGACGATAAGCCTTAAGCGACAGAGAGCCTTGAGCAGTTTTAATGGGATCTGGAATAGAATAGGAAAAAAAAAAGTTACAAAAACTGATAGGACAAACGTAACATTTTCACAGGTTTTCTAATTCCAACTAATTCAAGCTATAGTAAAACAAATGCTTTAAGGAAGAGGAGACAGAAAAATGACAGATAGGTCTTAAAATTAATCTAGGTGTTCACATGTATGGTTGGATAAGCTCTGCTTCCTGTAAATGAGTTAAACAGTGAGCTAGCAAAATAAGGAAATTTATAGATTAAAGGGACACTGTAGGCACCCAGACCACTTCAGCTCATTGAAGTGGTCTGGGTGCTGTGCCCCTTTTGCCCTTAGTGCTGCAATGTAAAACATTGCAGTTCCAGAGAAACTGCAATGTCTACATTGCAGCTCTAAGTTTGCCCTCTGTGGCTAACAGACAGCGACTAGAGGGCTTCTTGAATCCAAATGGACTTTTGGTCCGTTATCTGACGCTGACATCCTCATGGACCTCCAGTGTCAATAATTGAATAATGCTTTCCTATGGGGAGGTCTAACGCGCACTGCAATTGCTGCGCGTGCGCACTAGGTCTTGCCTGCCGGCTGATGAGGGACATTGGCACTGGATTCAGGTAGGTGGCTAAAGTGGTTTTAACCCCTTCAGTCATGCGGGAGTGGGACGCGCGAGAGAAGGGCAATCCAGGAGCCTACAGTGCCAGAACAACGGGTTTGTTTTCCTAGCACTATAGGATCCCTTTAAATCTTATACATACCTGGAATTTGGATCTAAGCATGTGCTGTGAACTCCATCCTACAATGTCTTTAATTTTTTTAATTTTATAAATAATAATCAGTATTGTCATACAGGGTTATTGCATGCCATTATGCACAAATCTATGTACACCCATGCCAGTTACCATTAAATACACTGATAATTTACACCTTTATTTAGATGGAATAATTGAATAAGCTAAATAGCACAGTAGACATTAGGTTTAGTAGTGGTTAAAACAATGCTGGGAGTTATCATATAAAAATGGTAATAAATGCATATTTCTATTCTAAGATAAACACCAAAAGACGAAAAAGATTTCAGATCTAATGGGTGTTACCACCCCTTAGGTCTTCTATCTTTATGAGTGCAGCGCTGTGTAGTATGTGAAAACAGTGAATTACCTGTGATTCAAAGGCAATTATCCTTTATATTCTCCAATGTAATATATATACAAAAGAAAACAGAAATATATACAGATAATTGTGCAGTATATCTATTACTTTAGTGAAGTGTTTAGTGGGTAACATATATATCTCCACTCACATTTTTTAGAGCCTTTTCAAGTGAAAGCGTCTCTGTCTTTAAGGGTAGATCACACGACCCCTCTCTCCAGGTTCAGTGTGTATTTTCCTCTCCCCAGCGTATATAAAAGACACAGGATTATCCAACTAAGTGTAGCATCCTTTTGTAATATTTTCATATAAATAACAAATTAAAGTGCTCACCTTATTTAGAGCCTTTTGGTAACTGGCTCTAAGTATAGGCCTAGTGTCAATTTGTGGGGTGACACTGCCCCTTCCCTGGAATCACTGGTACTGGATACAGTGGATAGTATAAAATAAGGGAATTTATTACAATGTATATAAAAACAGTATAAAAATATTTCTAGAAAATAAAAAATTGGATAAGAACAAATTATTGCAAGTATTGGTGGTTCAGGAAAAAATAATGAGTCCACTTTAAAAGCCAAAACGCGTTTCGCCGGTAAAAACGGCTTCCTCAGTCAGCTTGTGAGTGTCCTCTTCATGTTCTGTAATTTAAGCGTTTAAAATGTCATCTTCCAATTTTATGGGTCTTTTTATGTCATGTGACGCGGCTAAAATGCCGTCGCGTCACTTCCGGTTTTCGGCACTACAAGATCCAGAGTGCTTTGCGCTTACCGCGTCACTTCCGGTTTTCCTCCGGTTCTTTGTGGGAAATATAGTCCGCTCTAAATAAGATGAGCACTTTAATTTGTTATTTATATGAAAATATTACAAAGGATGCTACACTTAGTTGGATAAGTCTGTGTCTTTATATACGCTGGGGAGAGGAAAATACACACTTAACCTGGAGAGAGGGGTCGTGTGATCTACCCTTAAAGACACAAACGCACGAAAGTTTAGAGCCTAATTCACTTGAAAAGGCTCTAAAAAATGTGAGTGGAGATATATATGTTACCCACTAAACACTTCACTAAAGTAATAGATATACTGCACAATTATCTGTATATATTTCTGTTTTCTTTTGTATATATATTACATTGGAGAATATAAAGGATAATTGCCTTTGAATCACAGGTAATTCACTGTGTTTTCACATACTACACAGCGCTGCACTCATAAAGATAGATGACCTAAGGGGTGGTAACACCCATTAGATCAGAAATCTTTTTCGTCTTTTGGTGTTTATCTTTGTATGGTGGGCTTTTAGGAGTACCCGTAGAGTGTAAAACAGCAGCTAAAATATACTGTTCACATTAATTACTCAGCGCCACATATTCCACACCTATTGTTAATATATTCAATATATTTCTATTCTATTTTAATAGTTTTGTACCACCCACTTCTTACATCCCTAAACCATTACCTGAAAAATTTGCTTTTTGGCTCTGATAATACAGTTGTATGTGATCACATATTGTTCTGAGAAGATACCAAGCAGAGATTTTCAGGGAGGGGGGCTGCTGGACTACAATATCTCTAATTATCAGTGAGATTCTGGCTGATGCGAATAATAGTTAAATGCATCTGATGGGACAGTGTGATAAGCCAGTGTTAAACAGCATATGTGGAATATAACTCCCACCAACCATATCCACTATTTAGCTGAGCCAGGTGAAAATTTTAGTCACATAGCAAGTCACTATTTTAGTAGGTAGAGATTACAATCCGTATTTCAAATACAAACCTAAAATATTTTTTTATACAAATCCTTAAATCTAAATAAAATTATTCATCTCAATTTGATACGTTGGACTGGAGACTTGTCCTCAATGCCTCTTTAGGACAAACATATGACTAAATAATTTTCAGCACTAACAAGGAACCACGAGTTGGGCAAAAAGGGGGTGGATCTTCATTAGCTACAAAGCACAGTTCTGCAGGTAAAGATACATTTTAGAAATTTTTCTGAAAGTAAAAGCGTCCTTTTTGTAAAAAGAATGTATGAGAGCAGTTTTGCAATTAGAGTTTCCCTTTAAAGTTGTGGTATATAGCGATCTGAACTGTAAGTTTGTGGAGCATGATGGGAGATGCACTTTACACATATGGTCAAACATACAAGAGAATATTTTTTCAAAATATTATATTCTTTGGGTGACACTTACTGTGACATCAGTTTAAAGATGCATTAGTTTCAACATATAGTTTAAATTTTGAATGTATAATAAACTAGAGGGACAAATGGAGACAATGATGTGGCGTGGGTCTGGGATTCTAATGTGATATGCTCAGTCCTACAGAAAATGATGGGAGTATGGGCATCAGAATCCCAGAAAATCAGCCTTTTAAGAAAATCTTCAGATTTCCCTATACCATCTAGTAGCATTAATCCTTTAAAAAAAAAAAAAACAAACACTTCATTGCAGAGGTTAACTCAGGCCGTTCACGCCAATGTGACACATTTTGAATGTGGACTGAACAACTGTGGCCTTTCAGGCTAAAATCTACAATCAAACTACAACTATCCTCAGCCAGCGGATCCTTAAGAGATAGCCGTGAGAAGGTATACTCCAACAGACCATAACATGTTTTGTTTTATTAAACTCTGCTGGCGCCCCCTCCATCGATGTATAATCCATAATTTCTGGAGGTTAATCAGGAGGTGTATAATGCAAGGAGGTCATGCTATGCAGAAAGACAATTAGTTAATCTATTTGTCTCGTCTGCCGTTGGCTGCTTCCACCAGTGATAAGGAGGAGAAAAGCAGCCCGCTGAAAAATAACTCCAATTTCAATGCTCTGCTTATTAGCATGCAGACTACAATGTTCCTTCACCACACTGCACGCCTTCCGTGAATCTCAAATCAGGAATACAATGGCCACTGAGCTGCCTTTTTAGTTCACAGAGAGAATCAGAGATAGCTTCCAAGCAAACAATGTGTGCCTCATGTCCAGAGGCGCAGACACCGGTAAAGGTTAAAAGAGCAGCCAAAAGGTGCAATTCTATGAACTGGCCAGTTTGATTTGAGTTCCTTTCACGCTATAGCTCTTTTGAATATTTATGGCACACAGGGTTTGGTAAAAAAATCTGGAGTGCTTGCGGGTGAGGACCTTGCATAAGTAGGGATAAATAAAATCTATTTTATGACTGGCAAACTAGCAACTGCAGGCAGTGCGCTCTATTGTTTGATTCAATGAATCACATTCGTAGGCATGCAGGAGAGAGGTTTCTACAACCTCCGAAAATATTAATGCAAATGCAGAAATATGCTACATGACACTGTGCATGTAAAATTGAAGTCTTCCCCCCCCCCAAAAAAAAAAGATTTATATTTTTAGCAAGCTACAAGAGATATATGTATATATCTATCTATCTATCTATATCTTGTAGCTTGCTTGTAACTTGTAGTACTAAAGATGTGCTGACCTAGCCACTGATTTTATCTCCATTAGAAGAAGAATCTTGGCCTCTGGCATTGCAGCCCCACAGCACTAGAATTTAACCCTTTATGATGTAGATGAGTAAAAAGCAGATGAATTGCATAAGAGACTTTGAACCAGATTACCCAAAGAATAATCGAAACAGCCAATAGTATATTTATCAAATGTAGATCTTTGTCATAATGGTGAGCACAGCACAATATGCTTATGGCCAAAATTTTCTTATGGCCATAGTGTGTCCAAATTCTCTATTTTCTCCTTATGAAATGGCCCTGAAACATTTTAATTATGTACATACTTAAATTTTTTTTTTTTTTTTTTAAGTTGATTTTAGCAGCATCGGTTTTAAGAAATGCATGCTCAGGATAACGCTTATCCATCTTTTTAATGATATATATTGTACACTATACTCTTACACGTTGGGTATTATTAGGGTTTGCAAATAGGCAGTCCCCACGGGAGACAATGTGTTACGAAAGCCCTACCTGTTGTAACTATTAGGTAATGTGGATATCCACTAAACCGTGACTTCGAAGAAAATAAAACCAAAACAAATGCATAGTGGAAACGTTGCAAATCAGCTACTAACTCAATATAATTCACAATTTCCTCAAAATGTCCTATATTTCACAAGATAGCTTGCTTCTGGTCTGGCAAATTTAGAATGATTTGGAATTTAAAAAAAAAGAAGAAAAAAAAGCTTTTTATCATCGCACTGAACAGCACTCAGAAAATCTTATTTCATGAAACAAAACTCTTGGCTAGGCTATCTGAAAATACTGCTTCTATTCACTCTAGAAACCATGTAAGACCTACAAAGGGCTGACTGTCTTCATTATCCCAGGAGGCGTTTATACACATCGAAAAGGTGACAAAATGAGACAACATACAAAAACAAGTGGAAAAGTCATCAGGCTGTGATGTCATGTTCCCAGCCAATACAAAGTATACTTTAACAACTTGTTCTTTACTGTAATCCAATTGTTAACATACTGAAATAATTTGGGGGCAGCTCGTAAGATTGATTACATTCATTAGTATTTTTTCTGACAGATACGCGGGGACGTTACATTCACTGCTCAGCTGGAAACTATATGCAAGACTGCCAGATATGGCAAACACAGCATTTCAGGGGGGAGGGAGCCATAAAGCTGTTAAATTGCCTATGGTTCTGATACAGCACAGAACATCTGGTCTGGAGAGCTTGAGGAAACACCATTAAACCGGCAGAAAGAGAAAAAAATGTTTGTGTTCAGGGAAACAGAGCAGGGTCTGTGCGCCCCTGTCAGAGGTATTAAGGGAGAGAAGAGGGAAGAAAAAAAAAAAAAAAAGAAAAAAACTTGGCAAATTGTGTTATGATTGGTCAGTCACGTAGTACAGAGCCAGACATCCCAGTAATCGAGGTTTGTTAGACATCTGGTCTGGTTCCACCAGCCTTCACCAAGGGACGAGGGAGATGCAGGAATAAAAATGAAGCGGCTACTCTCATTCAGCATTCCAAAGTGTACACATCAGGGCTCTGATAGCAAGAAAAATAAACACAGAATAGGAAACTCTGTCTAGACTGTGCTGCTGCTGCAGACATGGGGTTGGTATTTACTTAAAAGGGACTGCCAGGCTACCTCAGACATTACGCCCCCTCCTCACCCTCCAACACATACACACACAAAAACTAAGCACTTTGTAGCACAGTGAAAAATGTTAGTATCAATGTGGACTTGGGAAAGGGGGGGAGTAAACATTCTTACCGTAAATGAGAACCACAGATTCCTCAATGGCATGCTGGTAACTGAACTGGGAATCCAGGAGAGCTCGGCTGACGAAGGTGCCATAGTATGTGGACTGGTACCATCCAACGTGAAGATGGTCAATGTTGACATGACGCAAGCTACGCATCATCTCCATCTGATACTGAACTGCATAGGAGAATAAATAGAGAAAACAATTGTAAAATCTGCTATCAGCAAACACATGCCAACGAACAAAAGCAGTGCAGGTTGTAAACCCTTGGACGCAAAGCTAACCGTCATCAAATTGCTACGGAAAAGATTTTGTAAGCAACTAGTGATTTACTTTAAAATTCCAGTGCTTGTTCCCCCATCTGCAAAATTACTTTTTCTAAGGTCGGTTTCATTTATGGCACAATTCAGATTCAATGCTGCGCTAAGACCTTAGTTGGGAATAAGCCTCTAATAAAAGCATTACGTATGGTGTGTGCCATGCTGTGAATTTCAGAGAAGGTCTTTCTGCTCTGTTTTCAAAAGCTAGTGCGTGATACACGAATGAGATGTATGTTACATGGGAGTATTAACCAGATTGTGTTTGATCCCATCTCTGTCACAGGTGGCGCATTACAATAGTAAGATTCAATGTTGGACTAATCTCATCATTAGCATTATGTAAGAAACCAAAGGGTTGACCAACAATGTATGCGATCATATCCCTATGCCATAATTTCAAATGCATTTACCTTAAACGCCCTACAGGTATGTCGGTGATAACTCAGCCAGAGTTTTACTGGGGGGACTCTAGTCTTAAGGGACCATGTATATGTCAAACATGAACAACATTTGTGGAAGCTACACTCAGGTATGTACTGCCATTTAAATTCAGTCCTCTCCTAAAAATGAGATGGTGGAAGAAGCTGAGGAGACCAGTAGCTCAATTCTGTCTGTCCAGCTCCTCCTCCTGATACATAATTACCAGGAGAGGGGCTGAATTTAGGATGTAAGCTGCAAAAAGCAGTAGATTACTTCGAAGGAAACTCATCAATATCAGGTAGATTGGGACGTGTATGCATCAGTGCTGCTTAGATGAAAGCAATCCTAACCCAAACTTTCACATTTACATAACATTGAAGAACATCTTAGAAGATTTCATTTTATTGGGTTTTCCCAATACCTCCATGTGTCAGACATTTGGTCTTGTGGTTTTTATAAGATCTCCGAAGACCCCATACAAATTATTTTTCTACAATATATGGCTCACTGTTGAATATAAGCAACCTGTTGAGTAGTTCTAACATTATGTTTTGTATAAAATGTTCCACGATATACAAAACAGATTCTGTGAAGGTGAAAACAAGTCAGTTTTAAGAAGTTCAAGATTACATGTGTCAAAATTTGTAGATGCCAAAGGAGATAAAAAATGTAAAATAAGTTACACCACGGTTAAACTATCCTCCCCTCCGGTTTCAAACATGTAAGCAGCATGGCTATTTTATTATTTTAAAGGGCGAAGCAAAACAAATGAAGATGAACACTAATAGTAACAGATCGTAACAGCAATGCAGGAAACCAGAGCTAGTCAAATGGAAAGGAAAATGAAAGGTTTGGGTTTGATTTAGATATATGTATGGCAACATTGTTACACAAGTTTTTTTTCAAAGGTTTTAATTTTATGGCAAGACAGCTAACTTTATTTGGCAGATTGCAGAACTCCAATCAAATGGGCATCTGCTTTTGTTTATCCTTAATCTTCCCACACGTTTTAGATTTGAAGTTGCCAGAGGCAATGAGCGCAGTATCTAAGATCCGTATCATCAAGATGTCCATTCGAGTAAGTGAAACATAACTCGTTCCAAGTATGTGCTGATTTCAAGTGATGCTTGCTACACAGAATGCAGTCATTCATTTTTTCACATTGCTTGTATAGCGCCACTGTCACGGGAGTTTTAGCATGCTCCGGGATTGGACAATGAAGTGCAAGTCAACAATGAGAAAAACGTTCAGACTGGAGTAAAAAATACAAGCTAAACTAAATTTTGTAATGACTTCTTGTTCGTTATTTTTATCTTTGATATGTTTAGATAGACCGGTAACTGCTAGCGATTGTTGTGGCCTATGAGGATTACAACACTTACACCTGAGCTTAATAAACATTTTAAACCACAGAAGCTAGAGTGGTTTTGATCACAAACAGCACACTTTAATGTAAATGAAAATAAAATTGAAGCCAACGAAAGTTCACACAAAGTTCTCGATCTGTGGATATCCATGCTTGAAAGCAGGCTAAACAAAGAAGTTAATTTCAGTTATATAGGTGATCCTATGTGAACCGGGCCAATGTACAATAGTGTGTGTAGGGGTTAGGATGCTTGGTGTGATCTTTTAAGGAGGGATTAACTTCCTGACACTTTTGTCCAAATCCAAGCAAGCAATGTATAGAGTTCTGGGGTTAGACTAGGAGTGTGAGAATCCCTAGAGGCACAAAAAAATAAAAAATAAACCCTGCTTGTATCAAGGGACATCAGACAGAATGACACAAACATTAAATGACTTGAGCAACTACTAGCTGAATTAATGCCTTTGTGACTATGGGGATCAATAGGTTAGATACCAGTCAAGGTCAAGACGCAGTTCTAGAATTCTAATAATTCTTTGCATAGCCGCTTCCCCAAAGGACAACCAAAGTACCTGATGCATGCTCTGACTTAACATACCAGCAGGGGGTAAATAGTTGCTAACATTACAAACATATGTTTATTTTAAAGAGCCCTGAAGAATTAAATGCTGAGTTGATGACCTTTAACGTCAAGACATTACTAGCAGTGCTATATTGGTAAGATACCATCCCTGATAAGCTGCACCACACACCTGAAGCACCTTCGCATGCTGAAGTGCTTTAGTGTTAAATTGCAGCTTATGTGAGAAGAGTTTATTTAAAGAGAAAATGACACTTTTATAAATCACCATTGTCGCATCCGTCCCAGCTGTCAGATCACAAGGAGGCTTTCCTGCTGCACTTGCTTTGAATTGGAGCTCAAAACAAGAGTAAGGCTAAAACTTCTACTTATTTCACAAGCTCCCTGAAATTAGAATAAATGTGCCTACAGAGCTCCTGTGTGTAGGCAGGCTTTTACAGTAGCTGTAGAAACTAGTGCTGTGGCCAATATAAGCAAGCAAACATTTTCATACCTGCCTGACCCATAAATATCTAGTGAATGATTGAACCCCCATGCAGGGTTTCTTTAATACCACATACATTTCTCATTTCTTAGCGTTTTTCAGAGAAGAGGAGGGCGAAAAAAAAAAAAAATAAACAGATCAACTTCTTCCTGTGCTTAGCTTGAGGAAAAGCTTCTAGACACTATTGAGGCTGAAACAATCCCACGCAAAGTTATCAGCAGTAAGGTTAATCCATTTTTAATGATAAGAGGCACATCTGCTCCAGGCATTAAAACACATCTGAACAGATTCGGCAAAAAACAAGGGAAAAGGGAATTTTGCATACAGTAACTCTGTTTAAAGGATAGGAAACAATAATTGGACAAATATGGCCTGAATTTCACTATTTTATAAAGTTGTTTTCATTTCTGACATGTCTATAGACAGCATGTCAGGCAAGAAATCTGATAAAGTTGAATTTGTTTTTAGCGTTTTGATTTCTTGGAATACATTTTACTAGGAGCAACACAAATTTCTCTTTGATATAGCTGGTAGATATTGGCATATCAAATGTGAGACTAGGTTTGACCGTATATTGTATATCTTGTCATTTATACAGTGCCATTATACTCTACCATGCTGTGCAAAGTATAACATTCTAAAGTAAGTGAATTGAATTAAGTGATGAGGAACCTGCTCCGTTAGCGTATTCCTGACATTGGTGTTTTTCCCACACCGCACTGGGCTTACTGCGGCTGGCCCTAACTCCGTGGCTGAGATTATCAATATTGATGATCTCAGCCAAACCAATGCTTTCCTAATTCCTATATTAAAGGACCACTATAGGCACCCAGACCACTTCAGCTCAATGAAGTGGTCTGTGTGCCAGGTCCATCTAGGACCTGCTGTAAACATAGTAGTTTCAGAGAAACTGCTATGTTAACACTACAGTTAATCCGGCCTCTAGTGGTTGTCTCATTGATAGCCGCTAGAGGCGCTTCTCACTGTGATTTTCACAGTGAGAAGACACCAGCGTCCATAGGAAAGCACTGAGTGAGCATGGCGCTGGAGAAAGGTGAGTGTTTAACTCCCTTCCTCCCCGTTCAGCCCGGCGGGAGTGGGACCCTAAGGGTGGGGGCACCCTCAGGGCACTATAGTGGTCCTTTAAAGCACTGGGAGGCTATATGCACTGTGCCAATTAGCATCCCTTCATTGAGATGCATTGAATCAATACTTCTCTATGTGGAGCATTCAGCATCTCCACGCAGAATGTGCAGTCCTGAGATAGGAAGCACCTCTGAGTGAATGCCACTAGCAATGTCAACACTGTTTACCATGCTCAGCCTTCATTGACATGCTATAGGCTCCAGAACCACTACATTAAACTGTAGTGGTTCTGAGGACTATATTGTTCCTTTAACATCAAGAGGATTGAATATATATTACTAAAATGACGAGCTGCCTTGAAATTATAAAGCCATAATGCTCATTATAGAGGACTCATTGCCTCCTCTGTGGAAAAGGCAACAAGCAAAAAGAATGTTAGCATGACAGAAGTGATCAAAAAAGTGACAAAGCCAAAATATAGTGGGGACTTCAGGTGAAAACCTTTTTTGTGCAACAAAGTTATTGTGTTTCAATGAAAGATCCTTGCAAAGTGTATGTAAGATGTATAGCTAAGAATTACAGTATCAAAGTGCCCTTAATGTCACATGAATCACAGCGTATGGTCACTCTAGCGGTAACGGTTAAAGGCTGAACTCGACCCAGATATAGGATTTATAAGCAGTAGTGGCTGAGTGTGCAGAAAAATAGCCCAATTTGTTGGCAAAGTTGAAATGAAACCTCCAATTAATAAATATCCAAACTTTACAGTCTCTCAAAAAAACTACAATCCTTTATAAAAGGAGATATTTTTTATTTTATTCGTGATTCTCATATTTAGGAGCACAATATAATGTACAAAAATAGGTATTGAAATGAACACCTGCATAGTAAGGATTACTACATTATTTGAATAACTTATTAATGAATAACCTAATAGTTAAGGGCCGCACTCACATTAGAACTTTCGCCATAGGAAAGCATTGCATAATGAGTACCTATGGGGTTTTGGGCGACACTGGATGTCCTCATGCAAAAAGTCGCCAAACCGTTCGGATGTCCATCTAGTGGCTGTTTGGTAGACAGCCAAAGGAAGAGGAGTTAGCCCTGCAATGCAATAATTGCTGTTTATCAAAAATTGCAGTGTTAAGGGGACAGGGACAGTGCACCCAGACCACTTCACAATAAGCTGAAGTGGTCTGGGCGTCTATAACGTCCCTTTAAGTCCGCGTTGTTTACACTCTATATTTGACACAATAAAGTTGACCATTTAGAACAGGCTATAATCTGCAATGAATATGCAATATTTCAGACTATTTATAACTCATTTCACTTCCAACTTAAATCACAAAGACATCCCTGAACAAAGGGACTCTGGGAGCTTGAATGATTTTTATAGTTCACTCTGGAAAATATAACTATACAAATAAACTAAAGATAAAGCAAAAAATACACACACATCCACTCCTTGTCCAGTGAAGGAGCAGATTTGCGTGATACTCACGGCCCATGATAATTTAGGCAAGCGGATCATCAAGGGAAATTACTTTGCCACAAATGCAGTGCCAAGATGTTGGCTGCTTCGGATGTCGTATAGTGACCTAAAGTGGAGAGGTGCTCAAATGCTTCAGCACTTGGAAATAGATTTTCTCTGGTAAGTCAGAATGCATCAGGAATTAGAATAAAATATCTGCAGTATTGGCTATTTTATTGGGGACAATAAAGTTCCCATTACTCTTTTATACTAGGAGAAAGAAGGCCCTAGTGTGGATTGCTTTAAGTACATTATACCATTTGGTATCCACAAGAATAGAATTGTCCAGTCATTTTACGGAAAAGGAAGACGGTCACTACTAAAGTAGAATAGTTTTCTCAGCCAAAAGGATACTTGCTAATGGAATCTCTCTCAATAGAAATAAATAGAATAGAAAGCCATCTTCCTAGTTTCTGCGTTCACAGACCCCGAGGCTTGCCGATAGGTGGTTGTAAGCAAAAACTTTCTAGTCAAATCTTTGCCTCATGGGCAATTATTCCAACAGCAGAATATCACCAATTCAAATACACCACCGAACTCTCAGAAACAGGAAGATCTGTCATGCAAGCAGCATGGATTAACCTCATTTGGTAACATGAAAGAAAAAGAAAATTTACCTCATGTTACTTAAAAAAATTTCCATCAATTTCAGATGATCCAAAATCATAAATAAAGCATCATGTTTAGGCCATTAGGCGAACGTAATCATAAAAGAAACAACAGTTCTATTCAGCTTATTTCTGAGTCTCTGATGCGCTGTATACAGTAGTACCATCAGTTTATTCCATAATAAATGTAAGCACAGAAACAGATTTGGCCAGCAGATAAAAGCAAAGAATTGGCCATTTCAGCCTGTCTGTATCCTATCCAAAAGCACATGCTTTATCCTTTATTTAGAACTGTATCTTTACTGCCGAGTTCCCTTTGGTTTAATCATAGAAATCTAAATTATAACTGCAGATCTGAACCTGCTGGTAAATATGGTCTGCAGGCCAGTGTAATTTATTACAAAGTCAACCCTCAGTAATTGGCAAATACATGTGTAGCAGTTTCAGAATCCCTGAATCTTTCAAATAAAATGAATTTATTTAAAGGGATGCTTCTGGCAACCACACGCGTTTATATTCAAAAAAAACCACAGTTTCTGTCCCCATACATATCAAGCAGCAATGCTTTTCCCATTTTGTTCTCTTTTACTATTCTCACAAATCCTTGCTTTTCGTATAAAGTACTGCTTGTAGTATACGCTCACCACTGCAATATAAAGTTAAGCATAAGCATGGCCTACTTGGGTGAGAACATCAGGTTAAAATGCCAAACGCCTTTATATTGTATATGTTGTAATGCATTAACAATAAAACAAATTTAAAAAGAATGGGTAACCTTCAGTGGGGAGTGTCCCTTTAATTACAATTCTAGATTGCTCTTTTGTATTGTATTCATGTGTATATAATAATTTAGGTTGTGTGGTGTGAAAGAAACGCACAATAATTCAAATTAGTGTTGGCCTTTTGAAAGCGTCCATCTTATGTATGTGTCCAGCAAGTGAAGAGGGGGTCAACTACCCATTCCTTTATACCTGGGACATACTATTATTTCCCACTATTGTGGAAATGCCTACTGTTAATATGGAACGTATTTGAGTAAGGAGGGGGTATTATTCAGTTCTAACCCATTCTGTAAATCACTGTAATGTGATATCCAGTTACTTTACTGTCTTTATTAGTCTGTTTTTCAGAGCTTTCCAGACGAGTAATGTAAAATGACATGCTAAAAACAGGTTTAGGAGTGCAGGCTGTCTAATGGCTTAAATCACAGGCTTTATAACCCATTCAGTTCCAGAATGTTACTTTTGTATGGCATTGACAGTAAAATGTAAATAAAGGACTACTGATAAGATAAAATAAATGTATTTGAGGGCAACTTGTGCCACCATAGTCAATGAGTTCTAGTAGGGTTGACCAAAAGGTACGTAAGGCTACCGTTTTAGAATTACAACACCCAGAATGCTTTTCCAACCTTCAGGATAAACAGCAGCTTTCAGAAATAACCGAGCTAGAACTAAGCATTAGCATGAATCTACGTCCTGCCAGCTCAGATGCCACACTGAAATGTCCTAGGGCTGAGCAGTTTCAATTAATACCAAGGCACAAGTGGTGCTCCCATCGCATTTTAGAAATAAAAGTCTAAATTTAAAAATATCTAATGCTTTACTCTACTTTTTCGAAGCATCTGGAGTAAAAGCTTCATTAAACACAAAATGTTTTTTTATCAAACAGTGCTCAATGCACCTGCTAAAATCTCATCATGGCAGTACGAGACCTCCCACTGATAATTCACCAGGAAAAGCCACGGTACTCAGCTCCTGAGCAATGTGCGATGCTTACCCAGCCACGGACATTTTTATTTTCTTTAAGGATAATACTGAACTTAATTGAACTTAAGAGTTCCACCACGGCTGGAGCGCCACCTGCTGATCATTCCTAATCAACAGGTTATCTGAAATGTACAGCACTACTGAACACCACACATGTAAAATAGGGTTTTATCAATAAATAAAAAAAAAGGTATAAGAAAGAAGAAAAAAAAAATAAACTTTAACATGAAGATAGGACGATAAATTAACACCATCCCAGATGTTTAAATTGCTATACGACATATGAAAAGCAGATGTTATTTAAATCACTGATGGCATGATGAAGCAGAGTTTGTAAGAAATCAGGAACTAAAGTGATGCTGGGTGCTTTAGATCGGTAAGGTTTCTTTAGTGGCTTATATTAAACATTCCGGTTTGTGATTCCAATAGCTGGGGATGCACATGTGACAGCCACATGAATGTTTTAAGTTATACAAAATTCCATGTTCCCATCAGTAGGGACACCCGAAATCTGTGGTTTGACCCCTTTTATCTTTTCCTTTAATTTGCACTACCAGGTACTATAGGCACTACAATAGAGTAGTCCATTCTGATTTTTTGGTTAGTGATTTATTAACTGAAGTAATGTCAGGAAGCAATCTCCAGTTTCCCTTCTTTATGTGGACCAGGCATTCGTCAGATCTTGAAAACCAAGATGGCAGAAAATGTTGGTGATACTTAGAACTTTAAAGACCTGGAGCAGCACTCTAGCTTCAAAAAAGAAGAAATTTCCAGGCACTCTAGTGTTAAATAAATAAATAAATATATATAAATATATATATATATAAATATATAAAAATCCAACGAATTGCTGCACTCACGGTGAATAAAAATCCAAGTTTATTGAAAATAGATTAAAACATCTACGACCCGGGTCGTAGATGTTTTAATCTATTTTCAATAAACTTGGATTTTTATTCACCGTGAGTGCAGCAATTCGTTGGATTTTTGTATGGACGGCTATTACTTGCTGGCACCCGGGCAACAAGGGTAATTGGAGCGTGAGTGCGGGAGATATAGAGATATATATATATATATATATATATATATATATATATATAATTTTTTTTTTTATAGAACAGAAAGAGCAGCAACGTTTCGAGCTTGAAAAAGACCTCGCTGATAAAACCAGACATCTCTATACCAAGTTTGGTCAGGTGCCATCTATTAACCAAGACAGTACAACGTTTGCAAGCCGTGGATGTCAGCACCATACAAATACTAAGACAGCGAAAGACGGAGACAGAGACAGAGTGAGTTTTTCCCCACACCGCACTGGGCTTACTGCGGCTGAGATTATCAATATTGATGATCTCAGCCAAACCAATGCTTTCCTAATTCCTATATTAAAGGACCACTATAGGCACCCAGACCACTTCAGCTCAATGAAGTGGTCTGTGTGCCAGGTCCATCTAGGATTAATCCTGCCTGCTGTAAACACAGTAGTTTCAGAGAAACTGCTATGTTTACGGGAGAGAGAGCGTGAGAGCGTGTGTGTGTATGTAATCTCTCTCTCTCTAAGAGGTATATTCTCTTGCAATCGAGATTTAGACAAAAATAACTGCTCCATGATTTAAACCTTGTAAGCTGCTGAGCTGGAACTGGGCAGAAGACTAAAAATGGTTCATAACACAGATATGATTTAGGAAACTACTGCATTTCAGTGTCCACGGCACTATTAAAGGGACACTCCAGACCCCTAAGGCACTTTAGCTTACTGCAATACTTTGTGTGTGAAGAGTGTGTCCTATTTTTTTTTTTATTTTACAAAAAGTGCAGATTTCATAGGAAATTAGCACTTTTATAAATTAACCTGGTAACACCACCTTGGCTTTCAAGCAAACAACTGTCCTTGTTACTTCCTGGTTTGGTTAGCTCACTGGAGCTAAACTCAAGTGGCAGCAATTGCCCAGAGCACCTGCTTTGCAAAGACTTCATATTGAGCTGCATTGGTAAGTCTGTGATTGGACAGTCACAGAAAGCCTGGGCGGGGTTAGAAGGGGAGGGTTTGCAAAGGCACCAGACAAGAGATCTGCATGTTTTGCAAACCATTATTATATATACCACTGATAAGAATGGAAAAAAAAAAAAAAAGTGTATGTGTATTTCACTTTCTTACACTTAAAGGGTTAGTAGAAACCCTAACTCATACAGACAGCTAGGAACCTGCAGAGCTGCCCATCAAATCCGAGAACAGCATCATATCCCCTGTGTAACTGTAGTGTCATCACGCCAGCTTTCCCGGACTTCAGAAAATCAGAAGCACAGCTGTATGAGAAAGACAGGGGAAGAAACCCGTCCCCTGCAGAAAGAATAACTACCATATGTATGCAGTCAACCCAGACAAGAAAGAAAACACAGGCAGAAATGATTTCTTGTTGCTTAGCAGGCGAGGGCTGAGCTGACAAGGAATAATGACATGTCGACATTTTGCACGGATCCTCTAGAAAGCATGCTTGTTAACCTGCCACAAGATGTAGATGTTTAAGATAATATCCGACACTAATACAGAACTGCTTCTAGGGGGAAATGCTGAAACACAAACATGCACATCATTTTTGCACTCTCTCGTTTCCAGTCCAACTATATATTTAATATAAAGAAACAATAAAAACAAAAACAAAAAACACAATAAAAGCAAAGGAATACATATAACAAGAGATTTCAGAAACACACTCCCATGAATGTGCGTACTGTCACAGATACTCTCAAATGCACTAACAAGCACACACACACACACACACACACACACACACACACACACACACCAGTTTGCCATCCAAATTTATAAATCATCTTGCTTTGGAGTTCTACTCAAGCTGCTAAAAATCACAAACATGCAATACTAGCTATTAAAGGAACTGAAGCAGGTGTTCCATGAATATGAATAAAACACCGGCAGTGTCTATTTAACAAATTCAGAGTTCAAGAGTTGTAGAGCAAGCCTTGCAGAATGCAAGAGACTAATGTAAGAATGTATAGCGTCATAAAAACACAGACAATTTGCCCTGTGCTCAAAGTCTCTTTAGAGATTTAGCTTTTTAGCTAAATAGTTTAGGACTCACCTAAAAGGTTTGCCTTTAAGCAGGTGAGCTTGTATTTTAATGGCCGCTGCAGTGGTACAGAAACTATGTTAATTAAATGTATAAAGGGATTTAGGATAGTGCGTAGGTAACTATATGGTTTTGCAAGATACTGTTGTGGCTATATCCACACTATCGTGGGGAGGATTACGGGGAGGAGAGGGTCTAAAAGACCAGCCCAAAGGCATCCTATCCTATAACAAACAAGTAAATTCTGGTTATTTGTGGCTTTGAAATATAAGCCAGAGCAGAAGATGGTCTTAAACATCTGGTAGAACATACAGTAAGCTGCAGACATCTGCTACCGGAGTTTTTATTTCTATAATTTTAGACATGAGATTTCACAGAGAATGTCTGTGGAAGCCATTTCTTTTAGTTTGTGTACACACACACAAGGTTACAATGAGCCATTCTTTACTACAGTTTGTGGATAGTAAAGGTTTCACAAGTTTAATTACAATACAGAGTGCAAGCGACATAGTTAAATTATAGCATACTTATTAGGCAGAATAGTTAAAGCGTGGCATAGTTATTAGGCAGGCGGATAAATTATAGCTCTTATCTTGTGCAGCTACATTACACAAAAGTAGTATTGTCGCATTATAGTTATTGACACTTGTAAATTAAATTTAAACCTCAAAAATTAAAGATCAGCTACTGAATCGAGTGCATTTTTGCTAAATGTTTTTACTTTTTTAATTTGGATGGAATACAGCCTGGCACACACTGAAAACCTGGCATCCCTTAAAAGGGATACTATAGTGCCAAGAATACAAAGCTGTATTCTTGGCACTATCACTCCCCCTGCCAGCCCCCTTCCTTTATTTACTTACCTTATCCCAGCGCCAAGGGCCCCCTCCGACATCAAGCGACTAGCATGCTCTAATGAGCATGCGCAGCAAATGTGCAAAGCATGAGGACATCCAGCGTCAGATACTGGACCAAAGGTCTCTTTCAATACGGGAATCCCTCTAGTCTGGTAGACAGTCACTACAGGCAACTCAGAGCTGCAATGTAAACATTGCAGTTCGCTGGAACTGGAATGTTTTACATTACAGCACTAAGTACAAGGGACACAACACTCAGACCACTTCAATGAGCTAAAGTTGTCTGGGTGCCTACAGTGTTTAAATGCAGCCCAGGCAGAACCAAAAGGCTGTTACACAAGCTGCAACAAAAGGCTGCCTGAGTGCTCGTGGACACACAAGACATGCACACCACTATCTTGATGTGCTAAAGAAGCGAATGCATACACACACACAAACACAATTAATGCATATACAATAACATGTTTTAAACTAGTACTCAGCAAATGCATAGCTTACATTAGGGTTTGTTTGGTTTTTTTTGTCGTCAAGGGAAAAGCAGAGAAAGTAATAGTTAAAAAATAAGATCAAACAAGTTAATGAGAGTTCCAGGTGGGCCTAAAACCAGGCGTACAGCACATTTCCATTTATAAACCTAAACTACACTTTAAAAGATATGCTGGAGGCAGTTACCAGGAACTACTGTGTATACAGCCACACATTAAAAGCAACGGGATATCAATAAAATGAGCTGGAAATTACTTGCCGAAGAAAATTATATACCACTGCACCAATGCCAGAAGGCCTTAAACCCAATGGGACTGTGGGGAACGGTCTACAGTTGTAGCTACATAACAAAATGGCATCAATTCCTTATTCCTAGAAGGCATTGCGACAACGAGGTCAAGTAATCTAAGAGTGAAAGAACATGCGGTAGTTTGGTATATAAATATAGATATGGAGTCTGTTATTTATGAAATATTGGAAGCATGATAATAGAAAAATGAAACAGGGGATTTGGGTTCTAAAGATGGAAACTTAGAAAGCATGGCATCACCGTTTCAATTCTCCCTTGGATTGGAGGGCAAGGCTAAACATTTGTAGTCCATTAGTTTGGCAATGTAAAAATGCTGCAGAACACCATAGATACATATTAGTGCTCAGAACTGAATTCCAAGGAGTATCCTAGTTTCAATGATTAATCAGCAAAATGTTGGAAAAACCTGATTAAGAGAGACTTGTTATCAATTCCCTTTAACTGAGATTGTATGACTGTCTGCCCTGCTCTTACAGTAGTTATTTTCTTGGACCTGCATTCTAAGAAGAGTAATGGATTTATTGTTGGAGGATTTAGCCTGCGCCTAACGAGGAGGAGGGAAGAAGATTGACAAGATTTTATGGGGAAAGAGAGTGCATCGATTCAATACATCATCTGCTAGCGCATGTCACATTTTAAATGGATTTTGATAAAAGCCTATAAATGCAATTAACCTGCTAGTTTCCACAAAGACTTGCAGTTGCATGGAACGGCACCCTAATTTTGCTAGGGAGCTCTATAAAACCAGACCGTCAGCAATGCATTCCACATGAGCAGTCCTATGTTTCAGAAATTTCTTAGAAAGCCTAAGCGGTAATACAACAGACCCAGAAAAATGCTAACATCAGCATGGCGGGAGGGGAATTGCGTCTGCATTTGGTAACAGCTGCTAAAGTTTAGTTTTTGGAGTTTGTATTAGCAGACCCTAAATTATTTAGCAAATAAAATGTTTCCATTCACACAGACACCAAACACCATTAGCATGGATAAGTACCCCACTCAACAGTTCGATTAATGGCCACATATGCATCTCAGAGAACGGAGCTCAACAACTCCATGTATATAAATATGGAAGGTAATTTTATACTGATTCATTGCTAGAAATATTTAACATCGCCTAATGTATGTTTAGTTCTGAACCAAAATAAAATTAAGTTATTTGTTTACCTTGAAGTAGTGTAATGGTGATGGTGTGGGGGGGTGTTCACCCAAATACCATTAAAATCTCTATTAAAATATAAAAAGACAATATCATAGTTATGTGTGTCCAGAAATGCATGGTGGGTCTTGGAACCTTAAATACAGTGTGTATTTAACAGGTTAGAAGCATATATAAAAAAAACTAAAAAAAAAAAACTATAATTTGAGATTATAGAATTTAGCCAATGCTTCTGTAATCATAGCTTTGAATGTTTCTTAACTAATTCAGTGCAACTGTACACATCAAAAAGGTCATTGCAAGAGTACATCAAAGGAATCACTGTGTTTAACGTTTTGTTTTTTTAACATAGGTATGAATGTGCCAGGTTTTTGCTGTTTTAAGTAGCAAGCAAGAAGAAGACTGTCAATTTTAAATAAAGACAGCTATATTTGTTTCCGAAGTTTGAGCAAACGTTATTTCATGCTTCTGTTTAAAACTGATCTATTCAATTCTTCTTGAGCCAAACATTAAATCCCTACCATTATATATCTGTTGCTCAATTTGCTCGTAACCACAAATTACGACAGCTGTTTCAAGGACAACACTGCTTTTAAACAAGCAATTAGTTGGTACAGGATTGCTTCAAAAAGCACCAGCAAGACTTGCTTAAATTACATATCTAGATCCCTCACCCTGCCTTACAGAGTGCTTGGTGAGTAGGCCATGCAGCAGGAGGTATAATTGCTTCCTAAAATGTTGCTCTGACATTTAACTGTTTACGCTGGGTCAAGGTGCTATATAAATTGCTATACGGGGAAAATTTCTGATAGCAAAAAAAAAAAATCAAATTCAAGTATGTAATGCAATGCTTTAAAGAACTATTAAATGCGTCCTGACAACTTAATCTCAATGTAGTGGTCTGGGGGCAGTGGCCCTTAATTTTAACCCTACAACAGCATGATTGGGAAGCCCTTAGCAGGCTAACAGCCTGTCAATCGGTGCTGATGGGCAAACACATCTCCAACAGCAATATATTCATTAGATTGTCCACTTGCTGATTTCACCCCCCCCCAATCCGACTGCCAAATCTGTTAATGATATATGCAATCTTTAGAGTTAAATCCAGCATAGCACCTTTTTCAGAAAGAGTATGTGGATGTAATCCATAGGATAATATAGATATCAGGTAGAGCGCTGGTTAGCTCTGTGAGCCAGAGGACTGTGCGGTATTAGAAAGTAAAGATGTTACTGCACGTGTGAATGACTTGTGCTGCACGTTACACGTTTCCTTCACAGCTTGAAATGACATTTCAACACGACATGTATGAAGCGTGAGGGGAGGAAGTCTTTAAATGTGCTTGTATACATACGAGATGGAAAATCTATAACTGGCTCAGCAGCCAGAAAAACAAATACTGGGTACCATGCAAGTAGAACAGTGGGATTTTATTTATTTTGCTCTCACCATCTTCACCCGCTGTCTCTGTACACAGGTTTTATAAAGATTAATGTCTACATGCATTCTACAATGTACATATAAAAATACTACTTAAAATGCCATTGCGAACACACTTTTAGAGTTTACAATTGAATGTTTATTTAAACTAGGAATGTGACCATTTACCTTGAACGTTTTATGTAGATCTAATACACTGCATTAAGAAAAAAATGTTGAATGCATCACTTTGCCGTAGGCTTCCAAACACAGTGTAACAGAGTTCCTGTCTGCTAATCAAGTGATATGGCGTGTCAGAATTAAAGTAAACAAAGTCTTCAGTGAGTGAGACTGTGTGTGTGTGTGTGTGTGTGAGACTGTGTGTGAGACTGTGTGTGTGTGTGAGACTGTGTGTGAGACTGTGTGTGTGAGACTGTGGGGAGGGCTGTGTGTGTGTGTGTGTGTGTGAGACTGAAAGTGGTGAGGTGGTGACTGTGTGTGTGTCTGTGACTGTGGTGTGTGTGTCTGTGACTGTGTGTGTCTGTGGACTGTGTGTGTCTGTGGGCTGTGTGTGTCTGTGGGCTGTGTGTGTCTGTGGGCTGTGTGTGTGTCTGTGGGCTGTGTGTGTGTGGGCTGTGTGTGTGTGGTGTGTGTGTGTGTGACTGTGTGTGGGCTGTGTGTGTGTGTGTGTGTGGGGTGTGTGTGTGTGGGCTGTGTGTGACTGTGTGTGTGTGACTGTGTGTGTGGGCTGTGTGTGTGTGTGACTGTGTGTGTGTGACTGTGTGTGTGTGACTGTATGTGTGTGTGACTGTATGTGTGTGTGACTGTATGTGTGTGTGACTGTATGTGTGTGTGACTGTATGTGTGTGTGACTGTATGTGTGTGTGACTGTATGTGTGTGTGTGTGTCAGTGACCACGAGCTGTCACCGCGCGAGCGTGCGTGTGTGGTGGCGTGTGTGTGTGTGTGTGTGTGTGTGTGTGTGTGTCAGTGAGCTGGCACAGTGATGAATGTAATTTTTGTGTATGATTCGTCAGTGATTGTGTGTGGTGGGGGGTCTGTGTGTATGTCGGATTGTGTTTGTGTAAGTCAGTGATTATGTTTTTGTAGGTATGTGATTGTGCATATAGATCTGTGGCTGTGTATGCATTTGTGATTGTGTGTATATCTGTGATGTGTGAATGTATGTGATTGTATGTGTGTGTGTGGGTCTGATTGTGCATGGGTATATCAGTGTGTATAGGTCTGTGATTGTATGTGACTGTGTATGCGTCCGTGATTGTGTGGGCGGGTAGGTCTGTGATTGTATGTGTATGTCTGTGTACATCTGTAATTATGTGTGCGTATGTCTGTGTATAGGTCTGTGATTGTACGTGTGGATCTGTGATTGTGTGTATATTTGTTGCTGTGCGTATAAGTCTGAGTGTTTCTGTGATGTATCTGTGGTTTTGTGTCCATATACATATGTGTGCATTTAGTAGATAGCTCCCTAATTTGGTATCCTTAAATATGGCAATTCCACATAAGGATAACATAAGGGGGTTATCTACTAAACAAAATGTGTTTTTAAGTTTAATTATTTAAATTAATTCTAGATTTTGTGTGTAACCCAAGACAATTAGTCTGCGCTCAATGCGGCCCAGGGAAGCCAAAAGGTTGGACACCCATCGTTTTGATGGTGTTATGAGACTAACGTGTGACGAACAAACCGTCCCCTCATCAAATCAAGATGAATTCAAGAATTCTATAATTCTGATCCAAAAAGGTAATTGGGAATGTTCCCAGTCTGAGTCCAAAATACACCATTTTAGCTCAAAGGTAAATGCACACAGAAATGACACTTACTGGGTGTTTGTCAGGATACTATACTCTGTAAACATTAATATTCAAAATCCACAGTAGATTGAGAGTCGAGTGTTGCGTTGCATTCATATGGTTTGCAGTTTAGCTACATGCATTAGAAAACTGGTCTGTGTATGTAGGGTATGCCAAGGGTACTGCCAGCCATCCCTGGCAATAAAGGGTTAATGTATGCAGAGTATTTTATTCACAAGTGACTACAATACAAGCAAACATCAGCATTCCAAAATGGCACTATTTTACAACTGGCATTTGGCCACGCTATCCTTAGTGGCAAAAGGCTCATCAAGTTGCTTAAAGAGACAAAAGCTAAATTTCAAGGATAGGATATGGTTATTAAAAACGGAGATAGGCAACCACGTCTACAGCCTTGGACAGATGCATATACTGTCTGACTGCCAGTGGTGAGGGGGGATAAAAATCAGTGTGTCTGCTGCATAAAACATCACGATCACTAGTTGAACAAAAATTTTATTTTTTTAATAAAGAAATGTATGTTCTTTTACTTTGCAAAAGAGCAGGATTCAAATATCCTGTTCGTGCTAATAAAATAATGAAGACAGACCAATATTCCTGCAGACACTGGCCAGTGTGTGATTTTCTGCAAAAGTCTTTAGTGAATAATAAAAAAATAAAAAAAACACTACAAATGTAAAGCATTTCATAAAATGTAAGCACCATAACTCTCACAGGACTACAGTGGATAACAAGCATGACTGCTTAAAAATTAGCTTTGCCTACTCACAAAGCAACAATGAAGAACAACACTGTACCTATACAATGTTCTGACCACATTGCTAGCATAGGTCTATGTAAATGTAAAAAAAAAAAAAAAAAGACAAAGACCTCTTGTTAGGTCGAAACGTTGCTGTCTGTTTTGTTACAATAAATCTGCCTGCGGCTTTCGCATTTTGGGTGCCTGGAAATCTCTTTATGTAAATGTTAAAACTTCCAAGATTTTCGCTTACTAGTCAGTGGTTTTGTCAGTACCTCCTAAATTCTGGATAGATTACTATTGTCATATTTCTACAATGTAAGTAAATCAGCGGGTTAAACACAAAAAGGACTATGGCACAGCCCACCAGGCGGCAATTGCAAGATACATACATGGTCTGTAGCACTGCCTTGAGACCTGGATCAAAAGGACACATGTTAAGAATCAAAGTGTCGATTAACCCCTTAAGGACACATGACGGAAATATTCCGTCATGATTCCCTTTTATTCCAGAAGTTGTGTCCTTAAGGGGTTAAACTTTACAGCCCCCATAAGCTGGTACGATCACAAAAAACACCAAGTCAGGTATAAAAACTAAAGCTAATGCTTGTTGTGAAAGTGTTATTTTTGACAGAATGTGTAATGCAAAGCACAGTCACAAACCATTTTAGCAGTAGCACTAAATTAAAGCAATGCTATCAGATAACCTTTTGATGAAGGGCCCATACTTAAATGGTCACGGTGCCCGAACGAGCAATTTACAAACACGGGCCTTTGAGATGTTGAAATGGTTAGATAGAGAGGAAAGGTCAAACTGTGCTCATGGTCTAAATGTATACTTGAACATTTATAATGAATTGAAAACTATGGCAAGCAATGCAATTCCAGACATGTCACTGCGGATGCTGGCTGGGAAGGGAACAGGAAAACAAGCAATAGGATTTCTATTGTGAAGTGAGCTGTGTGGCCTGAAAAATCTGCAATTTGTCAGCATGCACCAGCAAACTAATCAATAACTCCCCTTTGTAAAGGGATGCAAGAAAAATGGGTTCATGCAATGCGTGAACAATGGTTAACACGCGTGTGAAATCGCATAATACGCTCACCGCAATCAGAAGTGAGATACTGGGAAAGAAATCTCTAAATGTGCAACACCTATAAGCTATACTTCTGCAGGGGAGATATCTCTCTCTCTCTCTCTCTCGATATAGAGATATCTCTATCTCTATATATATATATATATATATATATTTTAATTCATCAGAGATTGGGGAGGGGGAGCACAGGGGTTCTAGGATGTGTGGAAAGCAAGATCAGCCTCAAGTAAATGAGAACATTTAACCTATATATTTATAGAGTACATACTTATAGCATAGCTACATTTGTTGGAATAATTCCTTTAAACTGGGCCACAAAATAGAGGGAAGAAACTCTATATACTAAGCTACAATGATTCTTTCTAGAACTCCCTGAATATTATGTTGACAAGAACTAAAGGAACACTATAGGGTCAGGAACACAAAACATTTACTCCTGACCCTAGTGTTAAAACCACCATCTAGGCCCCTGGCTCCGTCTGGCTTCCCTAAATATAGTAAAATCTTACTTGTGTTCAAGTCTGCAGCTGCTACCTTTGCCCCGTCTGCTGACATCAGAAGTGGTGGCCTGAGCCAATCACAATGCTTCCCCATAGGATTGGCTGAGACTGTTAAGGAGATAGATCAGGGCTAGAACCAGCACAAGTCAAACAGCCCTGGCCAATCAGCATCCCCTCTTAGAGATGAATTGAATCAAAGCACATCTGAGGAAAGTTCAGTGTCTGCAAGCAGAGGGTGAAGACACTGAATGGCAGTGCTGCTTAGTCTGCAGCACTGCCCAAAGAAGCACCTGATGAGTGGACAGTGTAGTTATCACTAGGCTGTAATGTAAACACTGTATTTTCTCTGAATAGACAGTGTTTATAGTAAAAAGCCTGAAGGGAATGATTATACTCACCAGAACAAATGCAATAAGCTGTAGTTGTTATGGTGACTATAGTGTCCCTTAAGACCTCAATTTAATTTGTCTGAATTAGAAACAAAAATATTCATATGATTTATCTACCAAAATTCCCATAGACTTCTTTTGAAAAGGTGCTCTCACAGAATTGAATCATTTCTGATTCATAAAATTAAACATCAACAAGCGTTCGGTAAATTAAGTTGGATCCTACAAGATTTAAACTTACGTCAATGGCAGATGAAGACAGACACCAGGCAGTTCTTAAGTTTGTCATAATTAATGTGTTCCCAAAAAGGGGGACTTACTACAAGTTACTTGTCTCCACAAACCTGGACAAGACCCTTCTTTTGATACACATTTCATCCACAGCATGCGGTGTCAGGGTGTGTTTTTGAAGTACAGAGTGAGCATGCAATGTCTAGATTGGAGCTCAGTGTTCCTGCTCCTCACTGCTCCCTCGCGCTGTCTGTAGTGATGCCGGGCGCTTGAATATAACGTCATATTCCGGCATCACTAAACTGCGCGCAAGGGAGCAGTGAAGAGCAGGAACACAGCTTCAGATAGCAGATCCCACTGGACCCCAGGGAATGATGTGAGTGAGTGTGTCCCAGCCAGTGCTTTGATGGCTGCGGCTGGACAGTGGAGTACCTGGAGATGCACAGAGGCACTCCACGTCACATTCCAACGTGAAGTCGACGTGCTTCGCCCTCACAGGGTTTCAAGAAGTAGCGGGAGGATCCGCTTCGGTACAGGGTGCGGACGGTGCCTTTGGGGGAATACAAGAGGCCGGACTACGGAGTCGCATACTGGCAGCGGCAATGTAAGTGGAGTCTGCTTGACTGGCTAGAGGGGTGTGCTAGGATTTAGTAGAGAGGGGGGAGAGGCCTGGCCTTTAGTAGAGAGGGGGGAGAGGCCTGGCATTTAGTAGAGAGGGGGGAGAGGCCTGGCATTTAGTAGAGAGGGGGGAGAGGCCTGGCATTTAGTAGAGAGGGGGGAGAGGCCTGGCATTTAGTAGAGAGGGGGGAGAGGCCTGGCATTTAGTAGAGAGGGGGGAGAGGCCTGGCATTTAGTAGAGAGGGGGGAGAGGCCTGGCATTTAGTAGAGAGGGGGGAGAGGCCTGGCATTTAGTAGAGAGGGGGAGGGCATTTAGTAGAGAGGGGAGCCTGGCATTTAGAGAGGGGGCCTGGCATTTAGTAGAGAGGGGGGAGGCCTGGCATTTAGTAGAGAGGGGGAGGCCTGGCATTTAGTAGAGAGGGGGAGGCCTGGCATTTAGTAGAGAGGGGGAGGCCTGGCATTTAGTAGAGAGGGGAGGCCTGGCATTTAGTAGAGGGGAGGAATGGGGTTTTAGTATTGGGGAGGAATGGGGTTTAGTATTGGGGAATGGGGTTTAGTATTGGGGAGGAATGGGGTTTAGTATATGGGGACTGGGGTTTAGTATATGGGGACTGGGGTTTAGTACTAGTATATGGGGACTGGAGTATGGGGGGACTGGGGTTTAGTATATGGGGGGACTGGGGTTTAGTATATGGGGGTAGCGGTATAAAAAAAAAAAAAAACCTACTTTTCTATGAAAATTTAAGTCGTTTTTTTTATGCGGCCCACAAACTTAAGCTTTGTTTATGTGGCCCGTGCTAGAATTTGAGTTTGACATGCTTCGTTTAAAATAAATGAAGACTGAAAGCATTTTACCAGCTATGCTGGTTGTTCACCACAAGTTTTTGGTGAATAAAGTTAATTGTGGTTGCTGGCATAAAAAAAGCAAATATAAGAAATGGTCATCAGTGATTTCAGGACATATTATCCTTGAGTCTATCCCTTAAGTAGACATTAGTCCCGAAAACTGGCTTAGAAATGAGCCTTCTACATTTATGTAAATGTATATGTTATTTGTGATTTATAAATACAAAAAAAAAAAGGCGTAACTTTTAAATTGAACGTATACCATAAAATTTGCAAAGTTAGAATTTTGTTCAGTTTTAACAGGTCATTATATTTATTTTTATTCATTATTTTTTCAACCTGGGCTTTTAAAAATAAAATAAAAAGTCAAATACTGATCGTTTATGGCCACTGTTCTACCCTTCTCAAGCCCAAGTACTTTAGCATGCAAAGCAGAGGAAATCAATCAGATATGACTTTTCTACTTTTTTTTTTTTTAAAGTTTCGTTGAGTGGTTTGAAACCAGTCTTCCACAGATCACGTTAATGCAAAATTCACCTCTAGACAAATATACCTTTAGTTTATACAATGGGCTGGCAAAATTAGCGGGACATTTATGCTCAAACTGTGGCCCACTTTCAATGTCAATTTAGATAGATTCAATGATACACCTTACAAAGGGGTGTCCAAAAGGTATATCCAGAACTAAAACCATCATTGAGGTTGTATTTCTAAAAACAGCTGTGGGTGTAATTGTTTCACAAGTTCACTTACAAAATGGACAAAACATTCAAAAGCGTATTCCAATGGACCTAATGACCTGATTGTGTCACATGACCTCATATTGGAATTATGCTACTTAGAACCTTCTTTAAGAACTTCTAGACTTAACTGGTAGCAAGGGTACAAGTGACGTGAGATCACAATACAGATTAGACATCTGGAATATGACTCCAGTTTTATGCAAAGAAAATGAAATTCATTAGTTATTCAATAGATATAAACATACAATAGGCTACAACGTATCCCTACTCAACAAAAAATATAAACAGAGTAAGATTTCATATGATTCAAATTTGAAGTCCTCTGAAAAACTATAATGATAGTCTTTCAAATTCTTCAGCTGCACTATACTAAACACAACAGGTAGAAGGGAGCCTTTACCAGGATACCTAGCAAGGAAAATGTGATTTTGCAGTCATAGCTGAATGCATGAGACAGTCATGAGACAGTCACTTGAAAAATGATTTATACAGGGCTAGACAAATCCCACAAGCCAGGTAGCCATGGCTCCTAGTCCTTAACAGCAGGTCACTCACATCTGTGCTGTAGTATACTGACCACCAGGGCTGTATGCTTACTGGCTATAAATATATGTGTATGTTTGCACTAACCTACATTTGTGCTTCTGCACCCTATAAGTATCAGAGATACCGATTTCAGGTTTGTGGTATGTTTAGAAATAGAGATACGAAAAAAAAATAAAAAATTAGTAATGCCTCTGGCATGTATCTGCAAATTGCACGGATGGCTATAATTAGGCCACAGCTTAAACAAACACAAAAAAAATCCACCTAACTGGCATTTCCGTAATTATGGGTTGTTGAAATTGTTGCCAGGGCTGGTTAGAAAAAGCTCTAATTGTGTGCACCAGCTTGCTGACAGCACACAGTCTTTATCAGTTACATTTATTTTGCCTCCCTGAATAATTTGAGTAAATTAAGTAATGCAGGTGCTTGCCTAGAACGGGGAGGGGGTGGGGGGGTCGGTGTGGAATCTTGCAACCAACCATCAGATTTAAATCTGTTAAGAAGTAAATGTAATGGAGGGAGGGAAGGAAAATGATTTGTTTTGCAAACCAATGCAATTCATGTGTGAGTTGTATGAGCCAAATTAAGCTATCAGCAATTTTTAGATCTGGATCCGATTGTTACATTTTACTTACATTCTAAGAAATTCCCTCAGGCAAATCAGGACAGGTCATTAAAGCACCAGCTCCACTATTTCATACAATAAAAAGTTATGAAACACACCATTTGCTGCCTTTTTTTTCCTTCTCTTCATTTCAGTAGAAGTTATTATTTTTGGCCCTTTATTTTCAGAGGCTAATTAATCAGAAGGGAATATCAATGATGCCCTAACCCTCGATTAGGTTTCTGTTACCATAGTGAGGCGGGTAGTAATGGCCATCAATGTAAAATACTAAGAAAAATATAAATTATACTTTGAATTATTACGCTATGGAGGTTACGTTTATTCCATCAATGCCAATGGGATGTGAAAAAAACATAGCAACTAATATTACTTTCCCATCTGGTTGTAAAATATCTGCTACATTGATGGTTTGAGGTTTCAAATAGGACGATTGTGTATTGTTAATGAGATTTCACTTTGGGGAAAAAAAAAAAAGGCACAAGAGGAAAAAAAAAATGTAAAAGATATGAAGGTGAAACTATCAAAAAATTTGAAAATAAGTGAAAGATTGTTGACTAATATTAAAAGCAGATTTGGGACAGCTGCAGACCTGTGTGTCTATGCCCCATCTCATCATACATGCAAGATTTATTTAAAGGGACACTCCAGGCACCCAGACAACTTCTGCCCATTGGAGTGGTCTGGGTGCCAACTCCCACTACCCTTAACCCGGCAAGTGTAATTATTTCAGCTTTCATAAGCTGCAATAATTACATTGCAGGCTAACTCCTCCTCTAGTGGCTGTCTACTAGACAGCCACTAGAGGGCACTTCTGGAATTCTAGCACAGGTTTTCTGTGCTATGGCATCGCTGGACGTCCTCACACTGTGTGAGGACCTCCAGCATCGCTAAAATCCCCATAGGAAAGCATTTGTCTTCCTGGCATTGGAGTGTCCCTTTAACTAAAGCTCTGCCTGCATACAGAAAGTATTTAATAAGTAAGTCTACTCTGAGATTTCAAGTGACTAATATTTTTATCTAATGAGGCATGCTGCACTGGTGTCTTTAAGAAAAAAAGAAAGACACACACACAAGAATAGTGCAACTTTGTTTAAAACCAGTTAACATTCAACAGGCACCCAAATTGTGTACCTGGTATTCACTTTGCTTCCCTGAGAAATGAATTATTCAATTTAGTAAACACTTACATAAATATACAGTATAGTAAAATGAATTTACTATAACACTGTGTACACTCTGCAATGTCAAAGAGACTAGATATTACGCATACACCCACACACATATCTACATATCTATATATCAGGACTCACTGTACATTAATCTTTTGAAAGCTAAGCCGTGTGTGTACACATGACATTTTGCAAATGTAAAAGTGATGTACTATAGGTCCCATTGGCTCAAAAGGCATAAAAGGAAATATTTGCTGCTGACAATGTTCAGGAGAAACAATTGCTGTAGGTTGTAGTATATGAAGAAGGCTGACGTGCAATTAATCTACGTCCCATTGAAGTAGCCGGAATAGGATTTACTACATGTGGCGGTTCATTTGCGAATGCCAAGTGTGGCCCTGCTCTCCTATAATGACATCTCACTGCAAACAGACGCAGAATAGGGTCTTCGCAGTTTGTGTTGACAAACAGGGGACTTTCCTAAACGCTAATGTGATGGCATATAGGAGACAGGGAATAATTAAATTACTTCGTATTACATGTTCTTGCTATGGAAAGAGCCATTGAGGTATAAACCATAGTGTGTAGGGTATGCACAAAGAAAACCAATACCAATCGCTGTGCAAATCCAATACACACAATATAAATTTAGAGACAATGTACTGACATTACTTTTTATCCCATTATAGTAATCTTCTATTAAAATAACCTTACATAGTTCTATAAACAAAATAAACATCTTTCAGATGTACCTCCCACAGTGCACAACTAGAATCTAACCTCAACCCCCAATTCCGGTTTATTCCATCCCAAAGTACAAGAAATATGCTTTAAACAGATTAACCTTTACTAAAAGGTTTAATAGAGGTTTTGAAACCTGCAGCTGAACTACATTTCCAATTTAATAATAAGCTGGCATCTAGAGGTGTTCTGATTTGACTCTTACATTAAGCATACACAAGATTTATTTGCAACGTGTTCGCATTTAATATCATTAAATATTTGCAAAAATGGCTAAGAAAATCCTTTTTGATTTACTAAATACATTGAATAGGTTTAGAAAATTGATATAGATAGATATAGATATAGATAGATATAGATAGATATATATATATATATATATATATAAATAAAACAGTAAAGACTCAAAAAAAAGACAGTGACTTATCAGCTGCTCGCCATGGGAACGGCCAATAGGAAAGAGGTTCCAGAATATCTTCTGCCATTTAATGACAAGCTTAGATAAACATGGCACATCTTTGTGAACTTAGTGCAAGTTGGGATTTTTCTGTTATGTATCTGCAGCTGGCTTTCAAAGAAAGAATTCGCCCCTTTCCAACTCTGATTAGAAAGCAGGCTTTATCTCCTGACATTTAACCATGTCCATGCGTGAGAGGCAATCCCTCAATTACATACAGAAAATGATAGTTTGTAAAAGTTTGCACCTCAAATCTCATTTGCTAGCTATGGCTTCCATTTGGCACGGCTGCAAGGGAAAGGCAATCCACCATAGCTGCAGCGCCAACATCATTGATAAAAGGTCAATGAACAACCTTGGCAATGCACCTCAGGAATCACCATGCTTGCCAGACTAATTTCATTTGTCTGGACACTACTGATTGGGTGGGGAGGGGGGGATTGGCTGACATAATTGACAATCTCAGCCAATCCAATGCTTTCCTATAAGGAGTAATGTAAACACAGCATTTTCTCTTGAATGGCAGTATTTACATTAAAATGCCTGCAGGGACATGCTATACTCACCAGAACTACATTAACCACTTAAGGACACATGACATGTGTGACATGTCATGATTCCCTTTTATTCCAGAAGTTTGGTCCTTAAGGGGTTAAAGGACCACTATAGTGCCAGGAAAATATACTCGTTTTCCTGGCACTATAGTCCCCTGAGGGTGTCCCCACCCTCAGGGACCCCCTCCCGTCCGGCTCTGGAAGGGGAAAAGGGGTAAAAACTTACCTTTTTCCAGCGCTGGGCGGAGAGCTCTCCTCCGATCCTCCTCTTCTCCTCCCCGTCGGCTGGCTGCGCGCGCATTCAGCCGGTCACATAGGAAAGCATTCTCAATGCTATGTTTATGAAAAAATGCTATGTTTATGAAAAAATGGGTTAACCCTAGCTGGACCTGACAAATTTTGGGAATGGAGTGGTGTGGGAGCGAGGGGGTGATAAAACACACCGCTGAACCTTCTATAAAATAGGACATTTAGGGTATCTCATGGGTTAAACTGGAAGGGGCACCTTGGTGACCTTGCAGTATCAAATTTGTAAAACATTCGGTGCTTATTTGTACTGCACTTGAATTAAAAATTAACCTCATCACCCCTGTGGTCTGTATGAGAAACAAGGCTAGCATAAATTAGATTTTTTTTAATTTATTTTTTTAAATAGAATGATTGATTTGAAGGGATACCATCATTGCCCCATTAGAAGGTCAGGCCACAATTATTCCATTAGTAAACATTATTACTAGCAAGGCCTGTAGTTACTGTTGATACAGTGCTGGATTTAGACATCGCTGTTTTGTTTTTTTTAACAATTCTAGCATTTAAAGGTTCAGCAGCACAAACATTCAGTAAAACAAAATGCTTTAATGATTTAAAAACACAGCCGAAGCAAAGACAATTGTGTATGCATATTAGAAAATGGAGCGGACGGGAAGATTGAGACGTAAAGGCAGCAAAGTCACACTATATTAAGTAATTTATAACTGGGCACCGCCATCAAAAAAATAGCCTATTGCCCATAATACTTCATTTTAAAAACAGTCTATAACTTGTGTTGATTTTTCCAACACACACTTTCAGCTAACCATACCACTTTTGAATGAGCAAAGAAAATCTAACATTCTCCTAACTTATCTCATGTACCAACAAAACATTAAACAAGTTAGCCAATGTCTGGATAACAAGGTTAGAAATAAAAATGGTAGAGCAGTCACTACAAATATAAATGTATTAAAACATGACTTTCAGAGAACAAATTGAGCAGTTTTTTTTAAATGGATTTGTTAAACTCAATACACCTATGGTGTTCTATGTAGAAGAATTCCAAAGAATCAGACCTCAAAATGCGTGGGCATAGCTGAATACACAAAATGAACCATGGGTTTTAAAAAGCCAAAACTAAAGTTATAATTAAAAAGCATGGACAGAACAGATCCATGAAATAAATAGTAAATAGATGTGTGTTAAAAGTTAATTTCATGCATGATCCCGTTAATAGCCTAGTTCTGCCGTTTTACATTTTTCCACATTTATCCCAATTACCCATGATAACATACTACATTTAGAGATCATTAGCACCCTACAGTGCTGGTAGGGGCCACTGTATAAAGCAGTTGCTTTCTGGATCCTTTCAGGCCAGACCATTATTAAATGAAAGGTTAACAGTCTGTGGACTCCATATTTCATTATCTGTCCCCTGAAGCACATTTAAGAAAGCCTTACAATGATGGGTCTTTTGATCTCCTTTCCTTACACTTGCTTCATCTCGATAGCGGAGATGATATACAATTATTGTCAAAGCACTTGTGTCTTCAAATACTTTTTACTTGCACAGTCAACATTTGCTTATTCAAAGGCTGTGGCTGCATGGTGTAGCAGAACAGCTTCATTTTTCAGCTGGGATAAAATGGCCAATTAATCACTCCGCTTGTGCCTCTGGCATTTACACATAAAGCCTCTTGGCTAGGAAGGAGTTAACATACACATGAAACTATCAAGATTTTTTTTGCAAACTCCATTTTATTTTTTTCACTGCAATTGCTTAGATTTTCATGTGAAGTCAGATCCACCTCTCCATTTGTTCAATATCAATAAGATAGAAATTGCTCATGGGCAGGAAGAATAGAAAATAAAATTAAAGGTTCATCATACAATGCATCACAACTTGATAAGGAAGTCAACGCTACTATAAAAGTTTACTCCAGGCGCCTATATGGTGCTTTATAAAACACAGAATGGTTGTACCACTTCAATGCTCCAAAATATATTAAAGAGACTTTTGATCGTGTCTGGGTGGATCATTGACCTTGTGAATGCCAGTCATCTCTGGTACTTGCAATACATGTCCCTAACCGAATCAATTGTTTTATCTGTTTGGTTTGATTGGCAGACCTCTGCATGGTTAGATTCAGTGCTCACATAATGACATGTCAGACTTTTGTACGTTACAGATTTGTGTATAACCTTGATTCTTAAAGTGTTACTCCACACACCATGTCCATTTCACTAATCTGAAGTGGTCCTGATGCCTGGAGTCTGTACGTGCAGCATTTCAATGTTTAGCCCCATTACTGTTGGAGGAGTAACTCCACCTCTGACAGACTAATTGGGACACCAGTACTTTTGTGCTGGCTAATGTCAACTCAATCCATATTTTAATGCACAGAACTGAAGCAATTAGCTGAGCGTGATCAGCTGACACTCTCAGCCAACAAATTGTTAGCAGGATCGGAGTCCGGCTTCTGAAGCTCTACAGAAGCCAGATGCATGTCACAGCTAATAAGAGAAGACCCTGCTGCACCTGGCAGAACCTGGTAAGAAGACAAGCCATTGCAAAAACTGTTTGCCCAATACAAAAAAACAAAACAAAAAAAAAGGGGGAGGGGGGAGATTCGGAGAGCGGGATACTCCTGGCATCATAACCACTACATCTGGTTATAAGGACCCATGTTCACAACACAAAGCAGCCATTCAAGTCCTATCAAGTAGCAGAATCTGGTCCATGAATGAGAACACATTTTTGCTACACTTGTTATGGCAACCATACTGTCCCTTTAATTAGGGACGTGCTTATTAAACATAGAAAATAACGCACCACGGAGACGAGCAATGAACTTAATTCCAGCTTAAAGTGCACATTTTAATATACCTAGAAGTAGCATACAACAATGCTACAATCTCAGAAGTAGTTATCGTTTACAACTAAAAATAAAATGTAACCAACAATAGAGAACTGTTATGGCTGATTCAAAACACTACTAGGGACTGTTCGAACAGGTCTCAAATATTGATAACTAACAACGGAGCCAGTTTAAGCGATCACCTGAACTATTATATTAAAATAGCAATTAGAAAAGCAAACCAGGCGCCTTTTTATTGGCGATGCAATAAAGAGAAAGCTCTCAGCCATGTAAGAGCCTCACCACGAACTAATGGCGTGGCGTGCAAGCATTAATTGTTTCACGGCTGAGGTATTCTATTTTATTACAGCTCCAATACAAGTTTGCTCATTGTGACAGTCTTTAATACATTACGGGATTCTCTAATACCAAGTGTGTTAAAAAGCCATCAGCTTTTAGCTTTCTGCTCTGTCCTGTTTCTCAGCAAGAAGGATGATTAATAACGGTAAATGCCTAGGTGGGAGGCTGCCCCTATCTCTGCCGTCCTCACAGCATTTAAGAGTTGATAAGTGGGACTGCGTTCTGCTGGCTGAGCTACACACAACGTACATTTTCCCTGGGCATATACAGCAGAGCAGACATCTATTTGGGGAACAGGATGGAAAAACCAGCAGCAGTGCTGCATAAAAATTGGATGCATTGCACTTCCAAGCCTATAACATACCAGGAGCTTGAGATCTGCTCTATAAACACAAGTCTTAAAGGGGACAGGATGCCAATGGAGATTAGGGAGAGAGGCAGGCAGCAGTAGACAGACATTTTTATACATTTTCACACATCGTGAAACAACTGTATTACATTGATACACCAGTAGATTACTAAAAATCCACCTACAAGGGCCAGAATCCGTTTTCCCTGCAAATACAATCCTCATTATTTAGCAGATTTACCTAAATTATAAATCAGGGTTCATAAAGGAGAATAAAAATTCATTATTTTTTTAAACCGGTTTTTATTAAAAAAAAAAAAAATTATATATAAAGTACCACCAATGCAATATTTTTCAGCGTGTTAAAAGACATGGGGAGAAACCGGGAAAAACATGGAAGGATTGACAGCTGGGAGATTTGCAGAGCAGCTTCAAATCAATGTTGTATTGCCAGACTGTGTACAGAGAAATCAAATAAAGTACACATTTATTTCAGCCACGTGAGTCAGGCGCCACTGTAGTGAATACAGGTGTGAAGATGTGCTGTCAGCCTGAAATGGATTCACCAGTTCTTTATCTGTCCCCATTTACCTCCAGCTAAAGATCACCTACAGCATACAAGGTTGCACAGCTGAGCTCTGTGAACCATACAATATGCAACATTTTCAGTTAGACAAAAAACAAACAGAAAAATAAAATAAACAACAACTTGATATGAGTGATTTGATGCACATTGTACACTCTTGCGCCTTGTTTTTTGCTCTCCATTAGTTTAAAGGATAATCCAGACATGGACCCCTTGCTCACGGTGCGCTTGTGCTGGGATAGAATTTCACATGCAGTGAAAATTGCTTAATTGCTGGTGACTGGTAAATTTGTATATTTCGACTAAAGCACACATATTGTGCATCGAAAACATTTACAATATTGTTTCACAATATCAACATGTATACAGCTAACTTATTTTGGGATCAGATACTATAAAGAGACCTTTAGGAGCAACGGTTAAAAATTGCCCTTGCCACGTCCACAATAGACACTGGTCAAATTTTTATGTGGTATATAGAATGTTTTTAATTTGATTCAAAGAAGCAAAAAAAAAAAAAAAAATGCAATCACATTAACCAGCCAGGATATTAGGATATCGGTTTATTTTATTCCCCCAGAGTGATGTTTTCATTAGTGGTTCTATCAGCTACAAAAATGTATGCAACATTCATCTGTCCGATCTCAAGGACACTTTATTGTAAGTGGACTTCTAAGATGATAGCTTGTGAACTATTAGCATAGTAGGTCCTCTCTTCCAACAAGTTTATTTCTTGTGATATATCATAATTATAGGTATGACCTTGTGCAAGTCCTCTATCTCGAAATATCGCAATCATCTCATTAACCAGCAATTTTTGTGCTTCAATGCACTTCACCATCACCATAACTCACACGGAAAAAGGTTTACATTAGCTTCCTGGTTTTTCAGAACCAGGAAACCACAAGTTCCACATACCGTATGCAGCACTTTCCAGCCCTAAACAGAACAAAATGTGTTTGGTTCCAGCAAAACTATAGCTTTTGGCTGTTTACTGACAGCTAGCAAGACTGGTAATCTGGTGTGTTAATTTGTCTGTCAAGCAAATATGACATTTCTGCTACATGTTGCTGTAGCCGAAATAATAAAGTTATTTTCACTTTGAACATTAAGTTCAAATATATTGCATGCACATAAATCTCAAAGCGAAGTAGGTCCTTTCTAAGCAGGAAACCGCGATTCAAACCAGGGATGTGGAGTTAGACTCATGGAGTTGGAAGCAATTTTGAGTTACCGAAGTCGATAATACCATAAAGTCATAAACTGGGGACACAGAGTGGAAGGTTTTGAGTAGCCTCTCTACAGTCCTCAATCTACAAGTATTCTGAAGACCTTGCATGCACAATACGTAGAACAAATGGTATGAAAAATATATTGAAGATGGCAGGTTTACCATTAAGTGTGCAGAAAAAACAAAAAAAATTATCAGAAATAAACAGAACTGGTACCCCCTCACATTAACATCTTCAAAACTGTGCACCCATTACATTATAGAATATTCAAAGTTCAAGCTTTCTTCTATATGGAGAGACCTATGCAAGGAGCCTTGAGTGTTCTCTCACTTTCTTGTTTTAATACACTATATTAACTTGGTGCGAGAAACAAGCTCTTCTGTACGTGTGCCAAAACCTGATAGGGGAAAAGCTTCAGTATTCAAGTGGCAGTGGCGACGAGCCATCCAAGCTCCTTCTGCATATCTGAGTATGCATCCCTTTCATTTACATTATTTCCTCCCAGTGTAAGCAAAGCAGTAAGTGCAGATAGACAACACATGCACACAATGACATTAAAACAGCCACTTCTAAGATTTAAAGGAACAGCTCATTCTTTATTTAAAAAAATAATAATATTTACAAACAGGCCAGTGCCAAGATGATTTCATACTTGTAAAATGCATATAAATATACACTGCCTTTTTAAATAGTGTTCAAGATGTACCTGCCTAATATGACGAGTATAAAACTAGACTTGATATACTGGGAGCGGTTAATGATTTAGTTTATAATAGACAACAAATAGTGATATTTACTAAATTGTGAGAAGGTTCCATGATCTCTCTCCTCTCAAACCAAAAACGGGTTACTTGATGGCTCAAATTACTCCATTGGAAAAATATTTGACTTCATTTTCTAAGAGATAGTTAACTTCCTCATTTTCTCTACCTAAACATTTGTGTTTGTTCATTGGCCTAATAGCGGGGTTAAATATATAAAATATGCGGTGCAATAAAAAAAAAATAAAAAGCACAGGCCAGTAATATGCTGCCAAATATGACATCCATCTGTCCTAATCCACACTATTTTACATCATAACTAGCAAGGGGAGGACAATTCTGTTACCCTCACATCATAAATCAAGCAAAAGATTGCAGACGGCCCTTGCTTGCTGGGATGTTTGCAACATGTTTCGTAAGGTGTGGTCTCTGCTCGGCGAGTACAGACTGGAAAAGCTGGAGGTTTTTAGGAGTGAGATGCACAGTGAGCAAAACTAATAATGACCTGAGTCATCACTGCTTACTGTGGGGCGGAGGGGGTAGATCTGTCACTTGCGTTAATAACTATGCTATCACTTTCTTTATATATTTCATACAAAAAAGTTGATGTAGAATTAGAAAACACAATGGAAGAGTGTATTAAATCCATTATTTTTGCAGGGCTTGAAAAGCAAAAATTAAACACCTCATCAGTTAAGGAGGGGGTTAATGCCTTGGTTATTGTAATTTTTTTTTGGTTATGTTTGTATAGTCCAGTGGTAGTCAACCTTTTTCCACTTACCGCCCACTAATGCATCTTTCTTGATGGAAAAATTTCCTTACCGCCCACCAGTTTTCGCGCAAGCGCGGAATATTTTTTAGAAAGGAGGGTGTTTTAAAAAATACATAAATGAACGTACATTTATCTTTTTATTTCTACTTTATGCATGTTTATAATGTTTTTAACTTTATAAAGTTTAATGAGGAAGCAATAAAGTAAATTGAACTTACCTTTACTAGAGGTTGATGCTGCGAGACTAAATATTTGATATCTGGTTCGATTTTCATAAGGAACAAGCGAAGGTCTCCTCTTTCAGTGATAATCGGAAGACTTCTTTGTTTGCTCATAAAATGATTTCTCATCTGTGCGTCAGCTCCCCTCCTCTCCCTCCTCAATTCCCCTTCCCACCTTTTTCCCCTTTTTTCTATTTTTTAACCTTCCTTATAGCAATGGCCAATAGGAAGGCTGAGCTAGGTAGCCCACTTACTATTATTAGTCAACAACAATTCTCTCCTTTTCCTTTTCTTTCCTTCTCCTTTTTTACAAGTACTCTACTCCTTCTTTCCTCTATACTAGAAGTACTCTACTCCTTCTTTCCCCTATACTAGAAGTACTCTACTCCTTCTTTCCCCTATACTAGAAGTACTCTACTCCTTCTTTCTCCTATTCTACAAGTACTCTGCACCTTCTTTCTTCTATTCTACAAGTACTCTGCACCTTCTTTCTTCTATTCTACAAGTACTCTGCTCACAGACAAACACATACACACACACACACACACACACACTCACATAGAAACACATACACACAAATATACACATACTCACACATGCACTTACAGACACTCACACATACACAGACAGACCCACAGACACACATACACTTACAGACACAGACACATACACTTACAGACACAGACACTTACAGACACAGACACATATACTTACAGACACACACACACACACACACACACACACACACATACACTTACAGACACACACACACATACACTTACAGACACACACACACATACACTTACAGACACACACACACATACACTTACAGACAAACACATATACACACAAATTATTAATATTAAATATCCACCCAGCCTCCCTACCTGGAGAGCTGGTGTGGATCTGTCCCTGGGGTCCAGTGGGGCTTCACTTAGGCGGGCGGCTAATCAGACGCAGCGAGGGAGCTCTAACCTCTCTGCTCTGCTCCCTCGCGGACTGTCTACGGATGCCGGGAGCCGGAATATGACATCATATTCCGGCTCCCGCGGCATCAGCAAACATCGCGCGAGGGAGCAGAGCAGAGAGGTTAGAGCTCCCTCGCCGCGACTGATTAGAACTCTGCCATGCCGGGGGGTCCAGAAGGTGGCCTGGCAGGAGGGAGCGCTTCCTCCTGCCGGTCACTGAAGACTTGCGCATGCAGAGCCGCTCGCGCCCGCCCAAAAGGAGAAATCCTCTTAAAAAGAGGATTTAGCCTCAGAAATCCCTACCGCCCACCTGGAATCCTAAAACGCCCACTAGTGGGCGGTAGGGACCAGGTTGACGACCCATGGTATAGTCATACAGTACATATTATTCTGCTCGTGGATAAATGTGGGAGTTGCATCCCAACACCTGGATAAAGTGAAGTTGGACACGCGGAGTTTATGCTGCCGTCATACAATACAGTGTTGAGCATTTTTAGATCTGTTAGGCAGCTTTTGTGTTTTTTTTTAATAAAATGGGTATTCAGTGAAGTCAAAAAAAACTTTCCTCTGCTCTGGACAGTAAAATGCTGGTAGCACCCTTGTGAATTGATATCCAGTGTTATTATGAAAAGGTTGTTTGAAGCAGACTGTACAAATGTTTCTGCTAATACCTAATGAATACAGTAATTTTACTTACCGTAAATTCCTTTTTTGTATAGTGGCCATACTGTACAAGTGGGATGAAACTCCTGCTGTGGACAAGAATCTCCCCCTCAAATTTGAATAGTTTGAGACCCCGCCTGCTGCCCATATAAGCCCTGTACTTCCAAGGAAACACCAGTTATAAAAAGAACCAAACGGAGACCGTAGACTGCATAATTAATCCATACAAAAAGAGGAGGTAACGGCAGTACTGCACTATACTAAGGAAAAGGGCATTTACGGTAAGTCAAATTACTGTTTTTTTTCCTCTCGTATAGTGGCAGTACTGTACAAGTGGGATATAGCAAGATACCGGCAACAAAAAAGGGTGGGAAATTAGAATGCCTCTGCCTGTGGCACCTTCCGCCCAAAAAAAAGCTTCAGAGGATGAAAATATGTCCAGCCTATAATGCTTTATAAAGATGTGGAATGAACACCAAGTAGCCACCTTACAGATGTCTTCTGGAGAAGCTGCAGATCTTTCTGCCCAGCAAGTTGCCATCGCCCTCGAGGAAAAGGCCTTCCAGGGAAATCTGATTTGAACACCTTGGGTTTCATAAGCCAATTTATTGGCTTTCTTTAGCCACCTTGCGATAGTAGATCTGGAGGCTCCTCTACCTTAACAAGAGCCTTGAAAAGAGACGAAGAGATGATCTGAGATCCTAAAGCCTTGCGATCTCTGAAGATAGATTTCCAACATCTAGGAGATGCCACTTTCTTTCAAGCACCGAAGATTGAGACTGGCAGAATAAAGGCAAAATAATAGGCTGGCTCAGATTTCTTTGAAATAACCTTAGGTAAAAAGGAAGGTCTGGGATGCAAGACCTCTTTGTCTTCATGGAAGATGGTAAAAAAAAGAAGCTGAAGAAAGCCTGTAGTACTCCTATCCTCCTTAAAGAGGTGATGTCCACCAAGAAGATAGTCTTGATTGTAAGCATCTTTAGGGATACATCCTGAAAAGGTTCAAATGGAGCCTTAAGGACTAAAGACAAATCCCAGGTAAGAAAAGGCAAAAGCTTAGGAGGTTGTTTTAGTAAGATTGACTTGTAATATCTGCGGATAAGAATGTTAAAAAGCTATACCACACACACACACACACACACACACACACACACACACACACAAGGAAGTGACATTGCTGAAATTTGGATCTTGAGTGTTGAAACACCTAGACCTACTGGAAACCCATCCTGCAAAAAAGACAATATATCCAGGATAGATGGATTATCTGGATTGCAGCCTTTCCAAGCACACCAGGTTTCATCCAAATCCTGATATATATCTTAGAAGGAGATGAACGGACCGATGCCAGAATAACTTCAAACTGTCTGAAATCCCTTGCTCACAGAGGATCATCCTTGCAGCAGCCATGCATTTAGGTGGAACATTTCCAGGATCTCTACTGGAAGAGTTACATACTCTATGAAGTTGTCTGAAATTGGAAGAACCCAGCGTGAAATAGTCATACATTCTATTTCTGAAAACCAGCTTCAGTTTGGCCAGAAGAGCACAATAGCTAGAACCCTGCTTTGTCCCATCTGATATTTTGAATAATACTTGGTATCAAGTCTATAGGAGGGAAAACTTATCCCATGTTGAAGTTCCAGGTGAGGGACAGGCCATTTAGGATGCCTGGAAAATCTGTGCCTGGATAGAAGCAAAGGTTGGGACTTTCCTGTTTTTTCCTTGTGACTATAAGATCGATGTCTGGTAAGCCGAATCAGATTACTAATTCCGAGAACATCTGGGGTTTTAGAGAACAGTCTGAGACCAATGTTGTCTGCGATGACGTTCAGAGCACCTCTGATATGAGTTGCTGAGTGAGTTTATCATGGACTGTACCTAAGACATGATATGGCAGCACAGATACTGTAGAGATTTAACTTTTGTGCCTCCTTGACAGTTTAAGTAAGCCACTGTGGTGGCGTTGTCTGACTGAATCCTTACAGCTTGATCAGAGGTAACAGGACTGAAAGCTTTCAGAGCATTCATTACTGCCTTCACCCCTCTGAAGTTGGAGGATTCTTTTGCTTCTTTCAAAGTCCATTTCCCATGAATGAACCATGAACGAAAATGAGCGCCCCAACCAGTTTGGGAGGCATCTGTTTTGATGGTAATCTATCTTTTCTGTTCGAATGAAAGGCCTCTGGAAAGGGTGTTTTTGTATTCCCACCAATTTAGTGGTTTTCTTACTTTTTTGATAGGTGGAATATGGAATCCAAATCTTCCTTTTTTCTTGACCATTGCGCAAATTGGTTCCATTGTAAAGGTCTTATTTCTGCTTTTGCCAAACCAACTGCTGGGGTTGCGGAAGTGAGTCGCCCTTACACACACATGATGGAGCAAACATTCTTAAGTAATTTTGAAATGGCCGTGAAAATTCTTATTTCTTTTGACATAGGAAGAAAAAGGGAAAGAGACATTGAATCCACCAGAAGACCTATGTATTCCATCCTTGTTGAAGGAATCATCCGAGATTTTTGTATGTTTAAAAGCCAATCGTGTCTCCTAAATGCGGATTCTGCATCCCTCTGAAATGGTCTTTAGAATCCAATAAATTGATGTCTCTTTCCATATTTGAAAAGAGAAACGAAGACGACCCTCCCACTCTTTTGGCGTCAATACCTTTTCTTTTTGTCCTGTTTATTGAGATCTCTAAATCTGGTATCTCTGTTCAGTTTGCAAAATCTCTCCAAGTAGAGAAAGCAATGTTGTCCTCTGAACTGAGATCTTTTATAGTTCTGAGGTCCTGAATATCTGGAATTCTGAGGCAATGCTTCTTTGGTTTCAGACATCTGCCTTATTATATCTTCCAGAGGGGTGCCAAATAACTTGTTCCTCTTGGAAAGTAGCTCAAATAAAGCAGACTTAGAAGCTGAATCCGCGGTCCAAGTTCTGGCAACCGAGGACAAACCCGTTATCTGGGCAAATCGAAGCATCCGATAGAAACGCATTCAAAGGTTTCAGAAGAAAACAGCTGAGCCAGGTTGTTAAGGCCCATTGGTGATAGGTTTAAGAGTTCCTTGGCTTTGATTAAATGGCATAATTTGAGAAAGCCTCAAGCAGTTTAATATGGCCTCTTGTCCCTTGTATATGTACAGGGCGAATATGGTTATACGTGTAGAAAGATTGAGCACACTTTTAATAAACATGTTGCCATAGGTACATCATACATTGCACCAGTGTAAGAAATGTTTAGCAGCCATGCTGGTCAGATTGTACTGTTATCTGACAAACTGGCGCTCAACCTAACTTGCCTCCTGTTGAGATTTCACACAGAGCAATCACAGCAGCAGGCAAGTTGTATAACACTAGTAGAATCTGACCCAGCATGATAAGAGTGACATTTTCTCAATACATAATGAAAATATATCAGTTTCAGTAAAATGTAAAACCCTTTTTTTTGAAAAGATGAATTCCTCAAAAGAAATCCAGCTCCTCCCATGTACACTAGCGGAACACTGGATAAACTTAGTTTGTCCTCTCGTATAGTGGCAGTACTGTACAAGTGGGATGTAACTCTGTGGACAAGAAGCCCCCTCAAATTTGAATATTTTAATAGAAGACCCCACCTGCTGCCCATATAAACCCTATACCTCCAAAGAAACACCAGTTCTTATCTCGGCAATGGGACGGACAAAGCTCCTCGTGGCCTTTTTAGGGATAGGAGCTGACATCTTATCTTTTTCAGCTTTATCCGGTGAATTAGTACTGGACATATTCTGTAGACGCAATAGAGAAAAATACTTGCATGTAAACAAGTGTAAGTTTCAAGGGAGATTTAAAATAAATTAAAATCTCACCTCGAAAACCTCACCACCATGTAGGAGGGCTGGTGACACTGAACCTGTACTGGCACCTACCCTTGGGGTCAGACAAGTCCTGCACAGCATTAGAGCTAAAATTTCTTTTGAGGAACTCATCTTTTTAAAAATAAAAAATAAAAGTTTTACATTTTACTGAAACTGATATTTTTTCATTATGTATTGAGAAAATGTCACTTATGCTGGGTCAGATTCTACTAGTGCTCTACAACTTGCCTGCTGCGGTGATTGCTCTGTGTGAAATCCCAGCAGGAGGCAAGTTAGGTTAAGCGCCAGTTTGTCAGATAACAGTACAATCTGACCAGCATGGCTGCTAAACATTTCTTACACTGGTGGAATGTATGATGTACCTATGGCAACATGTTTATTAAAAGTGTGCTCAATCTTTCTACATGTATAACCATATTCGCCCTGTACATATACAAAGGACAAGAGGCCATATTAAACTGCTTGAGGCTTTCTCACATTACGTCATTTAATCAAAGCCAAGGAACTCTTAAACCTATCACCAATAGGCCTTAACAACCCAAAATATTCAGGATTACCACATCTGATCCAATGGGGACCAAGAAAATCCATTTTATTTTGAAACTAGACTTGCTGAGTGCAAGTTCTGTATATTCATTTCAGGTATCAAAATATTTGTGATCGCCAACTTTGCGCTCATTGGAGCAGGAGATATAATCACTGAATGCTAGTTTACATACTAATACAAGGGCTCAATAAACCAGTTCTGTCAGCCACACTCATTAACCCACTGTTCTATGGTGGAATTGAAATGGGGTAAACAAATACAGTGTGTGTAAATCGAGAAACATACTGTAAAGGGTTCATGTTCTACACAAAGAATACAGGCACGCAGGTGGAAATCCCTTTACTGGATGTTGCAGATGAGATGTATGCAGCAATATAAACAGGCTTATGATGAATGAACACAGAGGAAAAGCCCTGCTGTGACCATATTGAGAGCACATCAGATAATCCTCTCTGTGCTTCAAAGAAGACAGCCCTTCAGCACACTGTAAAAACTGTATAGTGCAAGTTGCCGATAGTAAAGCCTGGCCAGACGAAGATTCCATACCCTGTTCTTAAAAACAAGTGTTAGCTTCTACCAACCCAGGGTGTCATTGGGTTAAATGATTATAAACCAGATCGAAAGACAATCCTATACGACCATCATTCTGAAGCATAAAACACAAACAAATGCTGGAGTGTCAGATACTGGGAAACTATCAGCAGAGGTGTCAAAACAGAAGAACCCCAGCTGTTTTAGAATTAAAACTCTCATGATGCTTTGACAACCTCCAGGCTCTACAACTTTAGAGTCTGGAGGATGTCATGAATGAACTATTGGGTCCAGACAGTTATAACAAAACTATACCACATTACTTATTTTGATGCACATAGGAGGAGGGGTAAAAACATTAACAGCGCCATGCTTACCAAGAAATTCTAGAAGCTAAGGTGATAATCAAGCTGACCATGTTCAGATGGTGGAAATTGAGAATTTCACACCACCGACATGATATTTAATTAGTTCTTTCTGGCTTTGAAGGTGTTAATTGATGTTGATGTTGCAGAGAAAGGCTACACAGGACTCTGATGGGTTGTAAGTGCCAAATAAGGAATTACATTCTGATTTGGCATGCTTCACAACACAAATCAACGCGGCATTACAGCACAAACCCTGCTACATATCACGCAAAACAGATTAGTTTGACCCTAAAGAATATCCCATTTTATATTAACAACAGGAAGGGGGGGGGAGGAGGAACGGGACAAATAGAAAATGCAAGGAATGTGATCATTCTGATTACAGGGAGAGGAGGAGGTGTTTTATTAATTAGAAAGCATTTAAATTGTGAATTATTCAGGAAGTGTCAATTCTGTTCCACTGATTACACATACTTTATATATGTGACATTTATTTATAAAATATTTTACCAGGAAAGATACTTGAAACCGAGGGAAATCTCAATGTATGACACACTCATACACACACACACACACACTATAATTGCGTATATTTGTATAGAATATACAAAACATATATAACATTTTTCCATAAGCATCTTGGTCCACTCCTATACACCAATGTCCTGCAGAGTAGGAAAGGCATTAAAAGGTTTGGTAATACTGCCCTCTAGTGGAAGGCCTTGGAAGGATTCTGTAAACATCAGTCTTAAAAATAAAAAATTGCTGCATTAAAACTATTTTAATTGACTATGTATTAAATGACATATGTAAAATAAAGAAGTAAACAAAATACATAATCTCTGCCTTTAATATAGAACAGGATCATTCAGCCATATACATGCACCTTGGAAAACAGAGTCTCTATGGTCCTCCCTGCTTCGGTGCAGGGAGTGAAGCAGAGCTAACCATAGAGACTGTCGGTATTCAAAAACTGTCAGACCCAAGGTGCATGTTTATGGCTGAATAAACCGGTCATATACTAAGGGTAGGAATGTTGGGAGGGTTTTCTATTTTTTTTCCCAATATACTTCATTTTTATTTTTTTAAATCTATTTCCTTTTAAAACTTGAAGCAATGATTATATAAAAAAAAAAAAAATAGTTTTAAGGAGACCATCCTTCAAAACCAGAACATTCTTATGAGATTGGATTTTACGACCCAGCATTGTGGAACTGGATACGGATCTGATTGATGCACATTGCAGTGAAATAAAGGATCTGCTGAAACAACTAAAAAAGGAGGTGGTTTTTTTTTCGTTTTTTTTTTTTTATATGTCCAACTGCACATTGCATACTTGGGGGGAAAGTTTTTTTTATTTTATTTTTTTTAAACATAGCAACACAAGAACAAGCACAATAACCATTACACCTTACTGTAGTGGTTATGGTGCTAGGATTTTGTAAATCACGGTCAACCCCTTAAGGACCAAACTTCTGGCATAAAAGGGAATCATGACACAGTGATAAACACGGAAGCGCCTCTAGCGGCTGAATTAACCCATATGTAAACATAGCAGTGTCTCTGAAACTGCTATGTTTAAAGCAGGCAGGGTTAATCCAAGATGGACCTGGCACCCAGACCACTTCATTAAGCTGAAGTGGTCTGTGTGCCTATAGTGGTCCTTTAATAAAGCCCAATCCCTAGCCTGTGTCAGATTACTGGTGCTGAATGCGTGAAGTGCCATCTGAAACTACCAAACTCTCTAAACATGTGTCCAATTTGTGTGGAAGTGAAATCTCATAACCACACCGCAGGTAGAAGGCCAGACACTGGGGTGCCAGACTACTCAAGTTTTTATCAAAATCCCTTAGGAAAAAAAAACCATAACCGTAGGATTGCTCCCACAGCATCCTTACACCATTACCACTACAATAGTTGTACTGGGTATGGAACTTTGAGTGTCCCTTTCAATTGTCCTGTCAATAAATTGATAGATAATTGGTTTATTACATTGCACATGTTGCATTTCAGGAGCTACTCATCTAGTGACTAACAGAACTGCTCAACTGTTTTAAAGTAGAGGTATTTCAGTGATGGCTTCATTTGTACCTTTGCAAGCTTTCCCACAGTACTCAGACAGTCATTGTCAGTCGCCAATGATCTATAACCTGTGAGACAAACCCAAAATGACAGCTTTCAGATGACCCCATTCAAAAACAATGGAGTAATTTCTGGAGCCATGCAAACCTATTATACCAGGACATGCATTGTATGTCACCGGTGACAGAATGGTTTGACCACAAATACAGTTACAGCAACAGTCTGAAAAAGATAAATGTACCGTATATACTCGAGTATAAGCCGAGTTTTTCGGCACATTTTTTGTGCTGAAAAACCCCAACTCGGCTTATACTCGAGTCACTGTCTGTATTATGGCAATTTACATTGCCATAATACAGACTGGGGGCTGGCAGAGCTGTTACTTTCCTCTCCTGCAGCTCCTGTCATCTCTCTCCTCCTCCGCGCCGGTCCGGTCAGCACCTCGGTCAGCTCCCAGTGTAAGTCTCGCGAGAGCCGCGGGGTCATAGTGCGGCTCTCGCGAGACTTACAGTGTGAGCTGAGAGAAGAGCTGCACGGACCGGCGCGGAGGAGGAGAGAGCTGACAGGAGCTGCAGGAGAGGTAAGTAACAGCTCTGCCAGCCCCCCTCCTCCCCCCACTGAACTGCCAATGCCACTGGACCACCAGGGAAGGAGAGCCCCCCTCCCTGCCATGTATCAAGCAGGGAGGGGGGGACAACAAAATAAATACATTAATAATTTATCAATAATAATAAAAATAATAATAAAATAAATAAAAGAAAAAATAATATAACAAAAAAATTAAAATAATAATTTTTTTATATAAAAATGCCCACCCCCCACCAAGGCTCTGCAACACAAACACACACTGCACCACACACACACACTGCATTCATACACACACACACACACACTGCATTCATACACACACACTGCATTCATACACACACACACTGCACTCACACACACACTGCACTCATACACAAACGCTGCATTCATACACACACTGCATTCATACACACACTGCATTCATACACATACTGCACTCATACACACACACTGCATTCATACACACACCCTGCATTCATACACACACCCTGCACTCATACACACACCCTGCACTCATACACACACTGCATTCATACACACACTGTAAATAAATTTTCAAATAATATAATTTTTTTAAGATCTAATTTTATTTAGAAATTTACCAGTAGCTGCTGCATTTCCCACCCTAGTCTTATACTCGAGTCAATACGTTTTCCCAGTTTTTTGGGGTAAAATTAGGGGCCTCGGCTTATATTCGGGTCGGCTTATACTCGAGTATATACGGTAAGCAGAAAATGCCAACATAAAGGAAGGCCAAAAAAACATTAAAATATTTTAACCCCACGTTAAAGGAAAATGGTCACTGCAATGCATCACATGGTATATTCTTGCTCTACGGGGTGAACATCTTTAATTTAGGGAGCTATAAGCACCATGTATTTTGTAATAATGCATGGTTATGGTGTGCTTCTACAGACCCTTTAAGCCCTACAGAGGAAAAATTAAAATAAAAAAAAATTATCTTTCTGTAGCTTTACACTGAAAATCCATGTCCTCTAAATTAAAGATATGATGAAGTCAGCATGGTCTATACTGTGTGCAGTGGGAGAAAGGGTTGTTTATCATTCTGTCACATCACACAGCGCAGCCTCTACCACAGTTTGCTTGAGGTAAACTGATTTTGCTTTGTTAAATCATGAACAGCATTTATATTTAAATTCTTACTTTTTTTTTTTAAAAAATATATATACACATTTATTTTCTCCAGATCAAATTTTATTTGCCAAATCTAAATTCTCATTCTCTTATACGCCAAGCCAAAACTAGTGGCAAGTGGAAATTTTGCTCAACTTGTGGCAAGTTGTAATTTATAAATTTCTTATTTAATTTTTTGTATTTTTTTGTTGTTCCTTATACAGAAATTCTAAAACACAATATAAAAATTAATTACTTGCTAAGTTATTGCTGCAAAACAAGTGAGCAACAGGGACCACATCCCACTTTCAGACCAAAAGGAGACCACCAATAAAGAGCCTCGGGGGTGAGAGATAATCCCAGCAGTTTATGTGTTGTAGACCAGATACCAGAAGTTCCATTTAGTTCTGATGAATGATGAAACACCTGAATAAGCAGATTGTAGCCATACGGTGTTAACTATCACTTTGTAAAGAAAATAAAGGTCCAGGCACTCCTTGGTTCAAAAGAATAGGCACTTTAATGGAACCAGAGCAACGTTTCGACCATATAGGTTTTTATCAAGCTTCTTTACAATATTTGGAGTTTGGTTCCTGGTACAGCAAAAGCACCCTGGCTCAGACTGATGGGAGGGAGTGCCGTTCCCTACATACTCTATTTAACCATCAGATTGTCTGTTCACACCAAACTATTTTGTGCACAGCGGACTACAGAGTCCGTGACTACTTACGAATGCAGCAAAGTATGAAAAGATTTCCTTGAACGAAAAGCCTCTATTTCCACAACATACTTTAATTACACTGGGAACAGGTTTAATGTCTGTGGAGTACCGTAGTAAGAGTTTAGGACAGAAATATTCCAATTCCATTCCAGATTTTGAACTTTACGTCTGATGACGCAAGGCCCCCTTTAAGTAGTTCAGAATTACCTGAGCTGCCAAGACTAGCCATCATTGGTGTAGACGTGTCTGAAAATACTCTGTATTTAATTCTAACTAATGTTTTTTTTACCTTGAGTCGCTGCACTGAATTGCACCAGAAGCATTTCTACTGCATTACATATGTCCTCAATGGGCTGAAATAAATCATTTCTTACTGCATTAGGAAATCTCAAGGGAAGGTTTTTTTGTTTTTTTTTCTCCCTCAAGCTGGCTTGTCTTTCAGGCTTCACATACACAAGACAAACATCTGGGGGAAAGTGACTCTTGCATTTAAAACAGATCTTTCTAGGATTTTTATTCTCCTATGTACATCTAACCCATGTGCATGCACACAAGTATATAAAGGTTTTTTTAATTCCTGTTTAATTGTTGTTACCAGTTTAACACCGATTCAACTCTAAAGGTGTACCAAAGGTCATATATAATGATTTTTATTTTTAATTACATATTTTGTTACGTTTATAAAAAGCTCACCCACTCCCCATAATAAAGAGAGAGCATTTAAAGATACTCAGTTGCATGAAATGTCAGTATTTTGTGTGCTGTGTAACGTGCAAGCCATAGGTCAGGTGACTTAATATGTAGATAAAGCTACTTTGTATCACTTCAGCATTAGCGTGTGTTTTTTGTCAGCACACTGTATATGCATCAAATTATGCAACATGCCTGTAAACAGAAGGTGACTAAATCCTGCAGTCAACTGACCCGATAGTCTCCGATCTCAATCAGAACTTTTAGAGCTTGCCCAATGATTGCACTTTCTAAATATCCCTCTATACCACAATATGATCATTATAAAAAGCTTAAGTCTGCGCAATTATCAAATTAAATGCTTTCAGGTGAACAGTCCAGCTACATGTAAATGTAATCTATAGAACCACAGTTAGAGATGGTGTTGAACAGGTAAAAACAAATAAATTTTGGGATTAAAAAGTATTAAAAAATAAAAATAAATTTCGTTCAACAGATTAATACAAAAGTTTCTTTCTGCTTAGTAGAACATTAGGAAAAATCCAATTAAGAGATGTGTTCATATTTTAAAGTAATCTTTGCTAACACATCTTTATGACAACTGCTTTGCTGTAAGGGGCATTGGGAAGGAATTCTCCAGAGATATGATACGAACTGTTGACTTCTGTATTACCTTCATCGAAGTCGGCATCATCCTCTGTGTGCTGTGGGAATGGAAAGCAGTTTGTGATTTCAAGCCGGTCATCTACCACCAGGCCGAGCAGCACCCCCTGAACCACCTCGCTTCCATGGCCTTCTTCTTGGTAATGCTTAATGATCTTCAACACCACCTGCAGGGAGAGAACACTTACATTTATCCAATGCTCATAAAACGTGTCTGATAGTTCCCTGCCTTCTGCAAACAAAAACTAAAGGAAACAAGTCACAGATTGGATCTCCATCGCTTTAGTAATGCTAAAAGCGGATTCAATCTTTATTAAAGGATCACTATAGTGTCAGGAAAACAAAGTGGTTTTCCTGACACTATAGTGCCCCCCACCCCCCTCCCAGGGCAGTGAAGGGGTTAAAACACCTTCATCAGCTTACCTTAATCCAGCGCTGGGCTCCCTTGGCGCTGGTGACATCACCTGCCGATGTCAGCTCCCGAGTGGAGCGGAATGCGCAGCAAGTATAGCATGCGCATTCAAACTGTCTATAGGAAAGCATTTCTCAATGCTTTCCTATGGACGTTCTGCACGCTGGATGCAAATTTCGCATCCAGCATCGCAGATGCGCCTCTAGCAGCTGTCAGGAAGATGGCCACTAGAGACTGGATTAACCCCAAATGTAAACATAGTTTCTCTGAAACTACTATGTTTACATGTGAAGGGTTAAAACCAGGGGGGGACCTGGCACCCAGAACACTTCATTGAGCTGAAGTGGTCAGGGTGACTATAATGTCCCTTTAGCCCCTTAAGGACCAAACTTCTGGAATAAAAGGAAATCATGACATGTCACATGTCATGTGTCCTTAAGGGGTTAAAAACTGCCAATATGTTGCTATGCAATTTTACTGAAACAACCACATAATCAATCAAAAACATATACATGATGTAAGTGCATGTGATGTGATGCTCAGGACAACATTTCAATGTGGAAACTATGCATAGTTTTGAAGACAAATGTCTAGAATTGGATTTGTTCACCGACCAGTATGGAATAATATGAGAATGAGAGGTAACTAGAAAGATGACTGTTAACTCCAGGGAAGAAAGAAAACTAAATAAAATTAACATAAAAGACTGTATAGTGCCAAACCTTAACTATCACTGAAAAGGCCTATTATTAGCTTCAGTTCGCTATAACAAGATATTTGTCATCTTTCAGATAGAAAGGCGCACAAACCTGATTAGCTTGTCAAGCTTGCCAGCAGTGTTAATATGTGACGTGTTAAATAAGCAGTGTGTTGTAACAATTTGTGAGAGTAGTGACAAACGCACTGGGTTGTGTAGTCAAATCTGCCACAATACGTTACGGTTCTCTGTAAATTAGGTCCATGTAAGAAATAAAAGCAATGCATCAGTCCACAGAGGTATTTACTGAAAGAAACAAACGGTTTAAGTGGTGCTAGTCAGCAACTTCCAGCAAGATACTCAAAATGTGATAAGAATTTTGTAAATTCAAATGCGTCAAGAGGGCCGTAATGGACGTTGGGCTAGAAAGGTGTCCCTGCTAGCAAAGCATTCTGGAATTCTAACAAAACATTCTAGGCCGGCAGCTAGACTTCTAGACATGCATTAAGCTAGAAGGAAATATGGTATCTAAGGGTAACAAAGATATTACAAAGTTAACACAATCTGTCTGTAACAATCTGTTACCTTATACCAGGGTGTTTATTTAAAGGACCCTTCAGCTTAATGAAGTGGTCTGGGTGCCAGGTCCAGCTAGGGTTAACCCATTTTTTAATAAACATAGCAGTTTCAGAGAAACTGCTATGTTTATTAATGGGTTAAGCCTTCCCCCAAAGCCTCTAGTGGCTGTCTCATTGACAGTCACTAGAGGCGCTTGCGTGCTTCTCACTGTGATTTTCACAGTGAGAGCACGCCAGCGTCCATAGGAAAGCATTGTAAATGCTTTCCTATGCGACCGACCGACTGAATGCGTGCGCAGCTCTTGCCGCGCGTGCGCTTTCAGCCGACGGGTGGAACGGAGGAAGGGGAGAAGGAGGAGAGCTCTCCGCCCAGCGCTGGAAAAAGGTAAGTTTAAACCCCTTTCCCCCTTCCAGAGCCGGGCGGGAGGGGGACCCTGAGGGTGGGGGCACCCTCAGGGCACTATAGTGCCAGGAAAACGAGTATGTTTTCCTGGCACTATAGTGGTCCTTTAAAAATGAAGGCATAATTAAACTGGTACAGCATGAGTGCCTTGCAAAACCAGGGATACAGCGCCAGGCTGACACACAAGAGTCATGAAGGACACCGTTAAGTGTTTGTTTATAAATGACCTGTTGGGTCACAGAGACACTATACTATGTACAGTATATGTGACTTCCATATCAACAATACAAAATGGAAAAGAACAGTATATACAGCCTGCAAAACCCATGAGTAGATTTCCGAAAAATGCATGCAGACAAGTATACAAGTATATTGAAACAGACATCACTATACTAGGGATGTATGATTAGGGAACAGACATGACGCGGCAATAACAAATTCTATTATGGTGGTATGGCATTCACATTGCCCTCTGAACAATGATGCTATAGACAAGTCCTTCTGGACCAGTTAGCAATTCTAATTTGGCAAATATACACTTCAATAATGAGTGTATAGGTAATTTTACTTATCGTTAAGGGATACAAGGATAGACTGTATATATTTTGTAAAAAAAAAAAAAACAAAAAAAAACAGTAATCTGAACTACTTTGTCTCATGTAAATATCTTCACTGAAACCCCCAGCAGTCTATAAGCTTTTTTCATAAAGATGTTATCACGAAAGAAAACTCAAGTGACAGCACGGATTTAAATCACATGTAGGGAATGACATATTCAGGTCATAAATTCCAGGAATCAGAATATACCGTATACAACCAACTTATTGTTTACCTGAAGTTGAAAAGGTCAGTTAGCCTCTATCTGCCATCCTAAACTTTTCAACTCTCAATCCCTGCCAGCTCTCAGAAACCCCAAAAAATTGATTTTGATGCCTTTCATTAGTGGAACGGGCAATGTGTTCTAAACAGAATTCGATATGTGAAATCGCTCCGTTTACTATCTTGAGAAGGAAACTGCTGTAAGACACCAGAACATTCTTTCCGTCTGTTAAAAAGCTTAATGTTACAAGGAAACTGTATCCTTTTACAGTGTCTTGTACGTAATGTAAAAATATCACTAAGTCAGTAAGCCCCAGTGGTTTCTGAAAAAGAATTCCCATGACACATGGCCAGCCATAAGATTACAATGTTATCATCGAATATTGTACCGGAGGATCACAATGCCAACGCTGAATTTAAACTCGCTCAAATGGAGCATATAACTTTAATCAAAGCTGCCTTCTGATGGCCAATGGATGGTAGCGCAAACGTCCCAAAGCACATACACATCTACTAGTATCTCACTTAGGATCACATCTCGCAGGTAAGACAACAGTTACTGCAGTCACTATGCATTGCATTATATGCACCAACCTCTGAATACTAATGCTAAATTGGCCACTACCACATCATACCAATTGACTGCTTACTGGGAGAAATAAAATACAGTTAACAATTTATGGGCACCATGGCAACAGAAGATAAATGGGAAAAAAAAAATTATAAAAATAAAAACCACCCAACGTTACCCAGTAAAAGCCAATTTCTTAACTGTGCATCTAAAAGACTTTTTGCTCAATTCTTGCCTGCTAATGTATGTGATTCCCTATTGTATATCACAAAAACAGCCCACTTTTACAGTCAGGCAGACGTCTCCTTTTGTTGCTTTTAGGAACTGGCAGAATTTGTTTCATCTGAGTGGTTCCAATCAGCCTAACCTCTGTACCCAACATCTGTCATACAGGTCTCTGCTTTACACAGTTCTCGACTTCGAAACAGCTTGATTTCAGCAGCATTAAATGTGATAAGAACGCATTGACAAAAAGCTTCCTTTATTGTCATCTTACAAAGGTGTCATTTTATCATACAAGTCTGTTTTGTGAAAGGAACGTTAAAACTTGGATTTTTAACTTTTTCCTCATTAATAAACACAAGAGGTCATTCAAGAAATGTACAATGACAAAGCCATCACAAGACACTAATTAGGAGGGGTGTACATGAGCATACCAATGATTGCCAGCTAACCTCTAGTAGCGGGCAGTAGCAGACACTAGGAAGAGGTCAGCAGGAGGATATCACTACTATAGTGATGCCTCATAACATGGTAAACTCTCAAATTGAAAATGCATGATTTGACACCTATATATTACAAGGTTTAATAATTTGGCTATATAGGAAAGAAACAAAGTCATCTTGAAGTCTTGTCAATTCACAGTTTAGTTAAAGGGTTACTCCAAGCACCATGAGCACTTCAGTCATTTGAAGTGGCAATGGTTCCTAGAGCCTGTGTGTGCAGCGTTTTGCTAGGAAATGCTACACATACAGACTTTAACCCCTACGGAGGTGTAACTCCACGTCTGGTAGAATTATTGGGCTTAGCCAAATAAATAAATAAATAAATTAAGGCTGCGCCACAATAATAAAAAAGTATGATAAAATATAATATATAAGCAAAGTACAAAAATAAAAGAGAATCCAACTTATGTGTCCTTGCAAATGGTCTTTGAGGAAGTTGATGAATAGTGAAGTCTTTGTAAACTGTACTGCTTCCACTTATATGGAAAATAAAAGAAGGACAACCAATAGTGCAATATGTATAGTTCAAATATGGACGTGATGGAAAAATAATTGTAGAGAACTCACATTTACAAGAGCTTATGTCCAGCTCTAGGGTAAAAGCGCGTACAACGGTATAATCCCCACTTATGGGATATGTGGTATGTGGAGAGTACCTCTCCGTCACTGGTGTCCAATTCTCAAGGAAGAGAAAAAAAAGACAACCGATAGTTCCCACTGTATGATTGTTTCTTATATAAGTAAATGAAATTGTACTTACAAATGGAGAGCAGACCAACTGCTCTTTTGTATCAGCGTAGGTGGATTAATCCCCACCTAGGATTTCTTGGGGTGCAGGAGACTTCCAAGGGTTATAAGACCAAAGAACCTGAGAGTGCATCTCTTTCCTTTTCGCTTTACATATCTAGCGTGGGATTGCACCTAGGCAGTCTTTTACTGATTCATTGAAAGGTTGAGTGCCACTATACTTGTCTTGTGTATATATATATGTGTGTGTATATATGTGTGTGTATATATATATATATATATATATATATATATATATATATATATATATATATATATATATATATATATATATATATATATATATATATTTTTTTTTTACATTTTATAAAAAATTTTAGTGGAGGGCAGGATATGAAGGGACACTAACCATTACTGGCGTTTTCTTAAAAAACACTGGTCTCTGGCTGGAACGACCATTTAATAACCTTTGACCTTGTGAGATCTCGTAAACCCATACTATATAACGCATTATATAGAGATATGAAAAAACATCAAAATTAAAAATTGATGCAAGATCTCCAGTTTATAGGATCTGCATGAAGTTCTTATCAAAGAAGAGATTCAGTCAGTCATGATACTCAATTTCCTATAGGAATATTGAGTTTACTCAGAAGCAAACTTTAGAATGGCAAGAACTGGGCTACAGCTACCACAACAGAGCAAAAAAAGAAAAGAAAACTATACCCCAGCAGATAAAAAGCAGTCTAGACTTTCCAGTGCCTTGTGAAATGCCAGCAGTGTCCCTTTAATAAACAGGTTTGATTATCATACTGTAAAACACTCTGCTTGAGAAGGGACAGTCCCTTTTGGACACAACCCACTTTGCCCAACATAGGACAAATAATTGTCACAGTCACTGCAACAACTTTAACATAATTTGACACTTATCAAAATAAATTAACACTTCTTTCCTAGATCCCAAAATCATCTGAAAATTAAGCACACAGAAAAACAGCAGCTTCTGGGAATGGTGAAAAAAAAGAAGCTTGGACAGAGCCCAGTTGTGTCTTTCATAATGATTAATCCTCTGACAATAAAAATACAAATCAACAGAATGGATACTGTACAACGTATAGTGAATGCACAATGTGCTTTCATATGGAACACGTTAGTTGTTAAAGAACCCCTCCAGACACAGTAACAACTTCAAGGATATTATTCCGATATCCTAATGATGTGCTTTGTGTGGCATCTTCTGCCCTTTATGGGGCATGTGCTTATAACCCAGCTCCCACACGTGTCAAACAAGCCCAGAGAACACTTGCTCAGAAAGATTCTGCAAGACAAGATTCCGGAAGGATGAGAGTATTTCTAGAGACCAGCAATGACAGATTTGGCAAAGCTTTGTCAGCTTGACAATCATACATAAGGACAAACTGTGTCTACTCTATTTTACATATTGTATTTAAAAATAATAAACCAATCAAAAAGCAGCATGTGAAAAAGGGGAAATGAATGACGATACAGAGGCAATACAAATGTGAACTTTTTAAGCACCTTGCGTTAAAAATGGCTGCACTAACATAGGACTTTTAATTTATCAATCCTTCATACAACATTCCACCAACGTATCATGATTTACCTTTAAAATTTTAAAATAACAGTATAAAATGTTGAATTTCTTAACAGAACAAAAAATAAAAACATCAGGTAACGCAGCACTTAAGAAAATCAAATGACCGACAATATAAACAGAGAACCAAAACTGCATATGTTTAAGAGAAATTCCTCTTCAATCCCATTTGTGTGTGGGGTCATTTTGGGTTTTCAAATAAAATTAATGAGAAACGTGTGGTTTAAATAAACATTTGTAACCAAGCCGCAAATAATATTACTTTGAGCCTGCAAACACATTGTGCGTTTTTGCAGCAGGGGCTTAGGAGTCCCAATAACTTCTCAGGCTTGCGATAAGAGCTCCTCGTTTCAAAGCATGAAATTCCATTAGCCGGCAGAAATTAATGGTTTCAGAGGGGGCTGTTGGTGCGATGAGAAGGAACAGGAAACCGCCAAAGCCTGTATGGAAACGTGTAGTCTAAATAACTTTAGTGACAGCATGGCAGAGAGCAGAAAATTACACTGACATTTGTGTGTCACAGGCAGTTTCTCATACTTACTGGAACATATGCCAGAGGTGGCACAACCAGCAGAAGATTAACTGTTTCAATACCAGGGGGCAATAAAGACTGCCCTGGCAGCAAAACATTTAATGTGGCCAGGACACATTCTTCCAATCCTCAAAGTGCACAATAAAGACCAGGGAAAAGGCCAGCAGCTATTTTATTTCTGTCAGCTAGTAGCTGTAATTCTTATAAAAGGCCTGGCTATTACCCATCAAACACACTCAAGGACAGCGGCAAACAGTTTTTACAGTATGCAAGCTACTAGGTCATCAATCATGTTCTATGCTCCTTGGTAAAGTGGGGGGACGTAACCAGGAATTAAATCAGAGGTCTGTGCTTTTATAAACTTTTCCAATAAGCAAAAAAATGTGGTCCTTAAAAACAAAAAAATGACCACAGTAATATCAGTGTAATTAATAACCCTATAATCAGATCCTTGGTAGAAGAGGTTATCAAAGAATTTCATCGAAAATAAATTTACATCACCCATGTGAAAGTGCCTAATATGCTGCTAGATAATCTTATTGTTCTTACTATACACTATATATCTCAGAACTATTTAAAGCAAATCTGTCAAAAAAAAAAAAAATATTAAACAACTTTGTCTAATCTGTTTCTTCGTTCCACGTCTGAATCTCATTTTTTCTCTCTCCAAACTACTTTTTCAAACTTTTGCCTAGCAGTCAAGGTGGCAGTGGGTGAAATAAAGCAAGGTTGTGTTTCAGTTGCCAATCAAATTTACCCAAAATCCTATCCCACAGAAGGGCAAACAGCAGACATCATGGGTATGAGACAACAAAATGACTGCACCACGCTATTTAGATCCAGCAAAAGATACTAAATATAAGACAAGTACCAAGGGATGGGGGGGAATGACATGTCCACTTTAAGGAAAAGGTGGGTTTTTTGTTAGATGTAAAATCTATGTAGTTTTATTTTCAGTTTCTATTGGTGAAGGTATCAACACATATATATATATATATATATATATATATATATATATATATACATACATACACATATACATACATACACACATATATACACACACATATATACATATACATATATATACACACACACACATACACATATATATATACATATATATATATATCTCTAAGATCCCACCGTCATTAATGCAGTACACATGTCTGGTAAAGAACATTTACTTAATAGATATTTTACATGATGTGCGCATGGATAAGACTATCTGAACCAGATTTTGTTCAACTGATGGAGAGGAGAGAGCTACAAGAATGCTTTAAATGGCAGCATTTGCATTTCAAATAAAACCGTCATGACATTCTTTTCTGGAGGAATTACATTCTTTTGTATTGTAATGTGATTTCTCAGTGCTGAGGGTTAAGCACAACACTTCCAACATGCAATCTGCAAAAAAAAAAAAAAAAAAAGGGGCATTACCGTTCATTTCCATAGAAACCGCCAAGGCAGCGCACCTTGAGTGTATCACCGGTGTAGAATAAATTCTATCCAACCACTCCGGGACACCAATTGTTCGAGCAGCAGGGCATTAGATGTCATTACTAGGCTGTCGGGAAGCAATCGTGTGGCTGTGATGAGATTAAGGCTTTGTAATGGATATCTAGATGTAGCCAGCAGAGAGTAAAGCTCCCGAGCAATTTGACAGATTAGGACAGTTCTTTCCAGATTTGTCATTGGGGGTTTATTTACTGGCGGGACAGATCCTGATAAGCACCGTATACTTTATACACTTCTGTCTATATCCTCATATATTAAAAAAATTTTAAGAAATCTCACATGGCCCAAAAGAATAATGACCTATCCACCTGTAGAGTTAATTCTTTACATATTACATAGATAAGTAAAAAACTGTTAAAAATCATATGTTGCCAATGGCTGGATTCCGCATCATACAGCCACAGTTTAATATCCATTTTATTCAGAGTACTCAAAAAAATAAACACTCAAAATCATTACGTTGAAAAGACTACATACAAATCAGTGAATAACAACTATTGGTTCTACACAGTATTAGGGGAAAAGAGACAAACATGGGAAGAATATATACTTGGCCTTGGTGCAAGTATATTTTTGCTTTAAAAAAAAAAAAATTTTTTTAAAGGACATGGCTTTTGTATCTGTTAAGTTTACAGCCCTTTTAACGGAACAGCCACATTTCTGCTGATTAAATCTGCTTTTTTTATGGGCCTGTTCAAATAGCAGAGATAGTACTACAGTCAGCATCTTTATGACGCTGTAACTCCATTTTATCCAGTAATATTTTAGGTGAAAAAGAGTTGCAATCCGATGCGCAGCAAGGACTGCAAAACTGGAAACAAGGACAGATGTTTAGGTTAGAAGAGGAATGGATTAACTGGAAACAAGTACAGTGCTGGGACACACTTGGGCAATATTAATAAAATAACCTACAGAGAACTCCTATTTTAGTAGCATCCTATATGTATTTTGTAATCCTTTTGACCTGCACGTTTTACTTCAAGTGGCTCTGCCACAGACCATAAATAAGAATTTCATAAACACAGAATACTCACATTGACCGTGCTGGAATTTCATTCAAATTCCGACGCAGTCAAAAAGTACAAGACGTTATGGGGACTGGTTTGTATTGTGGTAAAGTCTGAAGTTGACAAAGCAAGGCTTCCGTTGGCACGTTTTCTCAATTCCCAAAGCTTTCAGTAGCGACTGCTGTGGGAATCGGACTTCTCACAGACAGTGAGACTTGGTCTTTAGAGGATTCTCTGTAGTTATCAATGTATTCTTGTGCATGAAGAGCAAGGAGCTGAAGATAGCAGCGATTGTGCAATATCTCAATAGGACTGATGGGAAAAAAGACTTGTTCTTGCACAATACATACAACACCAGTGCTTTAACTACCACAAGTTTTCACCATGTCCTCCACAAGTTTTCACCATGTCCTCCAAAATGGCTAACCATCAGCAATGGCCGGCAAGCATTCTTGGTGTATATGATTGCAAAGTCTCCTGGTGTGACTATTCTTGCAGCTTTAAATATCCAAAAATAAAAACAAACAATTGTGTACGGTGAATTTTATTTTTTATTATTAGAACATGCATCAAAAACCTCTCCAGCCAAGTAAACAAAGTGCAATATTAATTCCTTAAGGACATGACGAAAATATTTCGTCATGATTCCCTTTTATTCCAGGAGTTTTGTCCTTAAGGGGTTAACAGTTAGCGTAGTTTTTCACAAAAATGTGCGCCTTGTTCTTGAGGCCACATCTTTTACAAGAAAAACTGTATACGTAGATTGAGTAACAAAGAACATGATCTGTATTGATGCTCGTGTCAGTCGTTCTGCAACAGTAGTAAATAGATTAAGCTGCTAGTAATTTTAATGAAACAATAGATCAGTGGTTGACAAACCCCAGAAGACATAGCTCCTAAAATGTTACTACTGCCCACTAAATGTTGGCTTTAAACATTTCATATAAAGAGTATGGACATGTTAGCTGCCATTCACATCTACTGGGAATTAAATTCTATAATAGATTGGGGTAAGCAGTAGCTCATGAACTAAAATGATTTTAAAGCTGGTATATTTGTTGATCATCACCAAAGCTCTTAATACCTTTTATTTTAATGAAAGCCATGATTTAAACGCAAACAGCTATGTTATATTTGAAACCATTCCTTAACGATTATATTATCACGGTCATGATGTTTAGAGCGCGCCTTTAATAGCATACGGAATGATTAGCACGCTTAGAAGCTGTGATTAAGCGTACACTAATACTGCATTCGTTGTAAGTGTTCTTTAGGTATCTTTAATCTATACATCTGTTGGTGGTATTGCCAGCGCAATCCTTGCTCTAGGAGAGGATTCATGTCAGCAACAAGATGGTTAAGAGACCAAACAAACTCCCCCCTCCCATGCACATGATTACACAACGTCTTTTGAACTACTTTGGAGAGTTAAAGTCTGCATACAGCACCCCTAAGGCCACTCTAATCTGTCCCATCTTCTTAGCGTCACTCACATCAGTACTATTGGTGACAAACTGAGCAGTACATTTCTGCCCTACAGCTTCTCAGCCACAGATTTCACTTACTGCAGCAAGCAATACGGAAATCAAGCCAGGTACTAGTGGATGTCACAGCAAATAAAGCTTATTATAAAACTATGGCAAGGGCAGGCAGGCAGCAGGAAATAAGTGTTTCTGTAATTCTTCCTAGAAAAGTCTCCAGCTACCCTGGTCATTACAAGCTGTGAACACTGCAGCATTAATGCGAAAATTAAAACCCAGATCTGTCTGGTCTCCAAAGTTGTGTGTGTGTATATACATACATATACAAAAGGAATGAGAAACAGTCAGATAGCACTTTAAAAAAAAAAAATTTTTTTAAATATTACCATTTCAGAGATAGATATAGATATATATATCTTGACTATCCTACCTTATTGCAAAACTAATCAGATGCCATTGATTATACCCTTCTCCACTGAAAGGGGTTAAGTACAAGGAAATACTGGGACTGCTATTGTTAGGGTTATCAACCATCAATCATAAAACTTTAGAAGTTGAAATTTGGCTAATAAATTACGGCTTCACACCTTTAAAATTTTCTGACCAGGTGTGCGGGGCTAAATAGGGATAGTAGAACTTTAACGTCAGGTATACATGTGTTAAAGCAAACCAAAATTAAAACAAATGGGTAGGACATGAGTCAGGCACATCTAAAATCTACAATGAATGCACCCATAACAAGGGTGGCCAACACTACATAATTCATAAAACTACAACTGGTAAAAATGAAATTATCCAAAAACATAGGCTACTAAAAATTAAAATAAATAAAATAAAAAATCACCTGAGACAACAGACCTGTGTTCTACGATGTAAATCATCTATAAGCAAGATCACTATAAATCTATGAAATCCTTATTTTCGATATTACACAGTCTTCCCTTATAAAGCTTGTAGTCATTTTTATTACTAAAAGGTATTTGCTTCTAGCCCAGGAAAGATTAAACGCCGCCAGTGTTTTGCTTTGAGAAGCCTTGCTACTTTAGATATCTCTAGCTCACCAGGGGAAGCATGCCATTTATCTGCTGGACACTTTCTCCTCATCCTGCTCCCAAGAGTTGTCAGAGGACAAAAGCCTCAATTCATTTTCACTTGCTGAGACGAAGCCTCTGTAACGGTGTCCCATCGCTCAGACATTTTGGCAAGTCATGGAGGGAGTATCTATCTTTAACTTAAAAAGCGCCTTCATCTTGCTCTTCCCATGCTCCCAGAGCAGTAAGTAACACCAAGAGATCAGGATCCTACTAAATCCATCAACCTATTTAGCAAGCAAGCATGCATAACTAGCCTGCAGGAGAACAATAAGCTGTAGTATCTGTCTCATTACAGGAAGTCATATTAATAGCAAGGCCCTACACAGAGACAATTACATATTCAGCTAATCCATTTTAGCTCAAACAGCCAAATATTTCTTCTCTGCAATTGCGTATTGACAAGGTTACACAGTGAGCCTGGGAGTGGGAAGTGGGTAGGCAATTTCATTGTCTTCAACGTTCTCAATATTGTTTCCTTTGTTTTTGCTCTGATACACAACTAGCACTGCCTATAGAACAATAGTACAGTAATGAAATGTTATTTTAGGTTTTAAAAGCTTAAAAATTAAACATAGCTGCATAATAAAGTGACTGTCAACCGCAAAAGATTTATACACACAGACTGATACATTTGTCATTTCATTCAATATATACACTGCACTGTCAAAATCAAAAGTGTAGAGATTAAACATATACTAACCTGAGGCTCCTCATTACTCAATACGTAGAATGTAAAAGGGACGAAGCTGCAAGCTACTCATTCACAAACTATGCAACCGGCATCCTACAATCCCCAATGTGCAGGTACATGCCAATATATGTTTTGGACATTAAATCAATAAGAAGCACACACACCAAAAAAAAAATTATATATATATATAAAATCATATATTTGTGGTCGGTAACATTAAAGCCATATAATAAACATTGATGGAACAAATCGGTAGTGGTTGGCAGAAACCTACATAAGGATAGAAAGAGGTGCACCCAGTAAAATGAATTGAAAGGAGAAGGGTGAGGTGGGATGAACTGAACGCCATTGATGGAGATGTGGGTTTATATAGGAATGCTAACTCCTCCCACAAATACAGGCCTTTGAAATATATATATATACACACACACACACACACACACACACACACACACAAAATAGTATTGCACTCCAACTTACAGATGTATTTGCCCGGTGCTTGTCAACATTAATAAAAGAAACAGAAGGATCCTCAATTTAACAAATCAAATAGGTGGAACTTGGAAAATAAGTTTTCCGTGAGGTGAAAAGGAAAGAGTAAAAAGATGGTTCCTATTACTAACAGGATAATAAAATCTAATTTAATATATCATGTTTATAAAAAGATGGAATAATCCGCCTAATGTGTATAAAGAGACAATATTATATATATATATATATATATATATATATATATATATATATATATATATATATATATATATATATATATATATATACACACACACACACATACATACACACATATACATATACACACATACACACACACACACACACTACGAAAACAGCAAAATAAATTGAGATAAAGTGAATGTTGATCAACTGCAAGAGATAGTAAGGGGTATGTCTACAAAATATTGACTAAATAGTTGAAAATATATATATATATATACACACACACACACACACACATACATATACACACACATACATACACTGAACAATAAAGGCAAATTGTTAGGTATATTGTAGACAACCCACTACATGGATAAATATAAAAACAATGAGAATATAATTAGACCTCAAGGAGACTGATAAATCACTGGTGCTTAGATCAAAGTAAGACCAACTGAAGCTACAATAAAAAAAAAAAATCGAGTACATGTACTCAGTGTATTTGATAAAGATACTACTATACAAACGTATGCCACAATGTATCTAAATTGCTATATAGTTAAATATGGCTTGTGGAATAGGTAGAGGACGGAGGGAGACGGCGGGATTATGGTGGTGCAATATCCTGTTTCTTATTGTCCCTGTAATAAAATACTGTCACTATCATACCACTCGGGATGCACCAAAATGAAAATTCTGGGCCGAAACCGAAACCTACTTTTTTCCCCAAATGATATTAAAAATTTAATTTTTTCCTATAATTTTATTATTAGAATTATTAATGATTTTAAACTAATATGAAAAACTTCCCTTCACCCCTTTGTTTTAGTGGTCCCCCCAACCCAAGTGTTTCTTTTTCCTTAGTGCCCCCCCTCTGTCCCATAGTGTTCTTTTCCCCCCTCCCTTGTCCCATAGCACAGTATTCTTGACTTTTCATGTTATCATTACTATCTTTCATTGTGATATATAATCATCTCAATTGTCAATGCAAGCATGTATGTTAAACTATGCACTACAAAAATATATATATATTTAAAAAAGAAATTTATTTTTAAAAAACTAATTTGACTCGTTTTCGGATGAAATATGATAGACCCATTTCCATCTGAAAATTTGGTGCATCCCTACATACCACGGGTAAAAAGTACCGTTTTCCCATCAGTCCCCCATGTTGCCTGTAGGGCAACGAATATATTTTACACATGTATAATGCTCCCTTGACAAACGTTAGGCGTGTTTTCTCCTTATGCATAGTGATCGATTACCCTAAGTTTGGCAGCAGGTTTAGTACATTTTCCATAGATATTATTCCCTTTGAACGTAAATGTGTAGAGTATATACAATAAAATTGTCTGGCAGTTGGTTTGGTTGTGCTCCTTATTGATTTAATATCCATTGTACCTTTAGACTCTATGGAGAATAAAGTCATTGAGTGAGCACCCATTTGTCCATTTTTTCACCTCATTATTTTCCTTCTGTTCATCGCTTTCTCAAGTGTCCCTGCCCTTCTAATAATTTGTCCAATATGTTTTTGGATACCTGCACACGATTCCGTACTATAGCATTAAATGTGTATGCCAAGCACTTTACACCCTAAAGCACACTGTAGTGATTATGTAGGAAGGAGTGCTCTAGTGCTGTCCAACAGCTGTTTGTCAAACCGTTTTAATATGGTTTGGGAAATTATGTGGGCCTTCCAAGATGCCAGCTTTCCATACCCAGCACCCGGGTCTTCTCCTGCGGAAGTATCTGGTTCGCTCAACAGGGCCATGCTCGTTGTCTGAGAAAATTAGATCAGCACACTCTGTAATGGAGATTGATCTTGCATTGGCCTTGCTTTATTCAATAGAAACATTTAGCTTTTCATTAAAAGAAGATTGGATATGGCGCGAACACACAGGGGACATATACGAAATGAAAATTCTCATATTGCAAGCTTATTTGGGCAGGGTCTTCTTCATATCTCGTTTGTCAATTACTATACAATTGAGAGAGATTATATATCTATGTCATTGTACTACAAGCAAAATTTCACTCACGTCTAATACATGTTAAAGAAACAGAAACTAATTTATGAATGCCGTTTCTACAGTAAATGTCTGTATTCTTATCAATGATACAGTTTTTAAAAGGTTAAAAAAATACAGTGGTTGAAATAAACACCAACAGGTGCAGCCACAACCAACCCTAGCTGACACTCATAAATCAGATTTAACTGTAAAGCAACACAAAACCAAACCAATACTCTGGCTTTAGTAATAGATATCCAAGATGTAAAGTCCAGCACAAAATCTTATTATATGTGTAAAAAAAAAAAAAAAAGAATGTATAGAATATGTCTGACATACAATATAATAGTGTACCTTTATGAATGTGCACTTACTAAACAGGAATACATTGTAACTGTATCAATGGCCTCCACTATATGAAAATGCCAGAACTGCCATTGACACAAGTCTACAGCGCTCATTTTGTTAAGTGCACATTCATATAGTGGGGCTATTATACAGTCAGAGCTAGCCTATGATTTGTTTGAAATTTTTTTACATAATAAAATATAATTTTATATTAGAATGTACATTTTGGATCCCTATTACAACATGTATGCACTCATCTGTATTTGCTTTAATGATATCGTTTACAATGATTAAAAGGCTGAACTCACCCAGTCAACCACTGGTCCTCCAAACAGGTTTGCACATGTACAATAAATGTGAAATGGCACTTGTTTGGACCAGGACTGAAACATTCAACACCAGAATTTGAGAGTATTGGGGGCTGCAGTGATCCTATGTATAATGATAATACTTACCAATAATCTAAACTACAATCATGATTTTCTTAACCATCTATAGTCAGTGTGTCATTTATTTTGACTACAGAAAAAAAAAGTAACCAATACACTGTCCATAAAATGAAAACTCCAGTAAATACATAAATTAAAAAATACTTAACTGAAAAGAGAGTGAGAATAGGAACGTAGGCATAAAGTGGTCTAACTTCTCAAGCTAAATAATTTAGGAGCGAGAAAGGAACATAAAAGAACCACTATAATGCCAGGAAAACAAACTTGTTTTCCTGGTCCTATAAGGTCTTTAGGTTCCCCCCACCCTCAGGGTCCCACTCCCGCTGGGCTGAAGGGGTTAAACACTTACCTTTCTCTAGGGCCAGGCTCCCTCGGCACTGGGGAACTCTCCTCCTCCCGACGTCAGCGGTGAATGCGCGACAAGAGCAGCGTGCGTATTCAGACAGTCCATAGAAAAGCATTTCTCAATTTTGGCATTGAGAAATGGTTTCCTATGGACTTTCTGAATGAGCGTGCGACTCTTGCTGGGCATGCTCATTCAGGACTGACGTTGGGAGGAGAGTTCCCCAGCGCCGAGGGAGCCCGGCACTGGAGAAAGGTAAGTGTTTAACCCCTTCAGCCCAGCGAGAGTGGGACCCTGAGGGTGGGGGAAACCTAAATACCCTATAGTGCCAGGAAAACGAGTTGGTTTTCCTGGCACTATAGTGGTCCTTTAACTATATCTGAAGAGGAATGGACAGTGAGTACCAAGTGGACCACGTAAGTGACAAACTATTTGAAAACTGACTACATACCTTGTGACAACACCAAAGAACTCCTGACATAACTACTATAGTGCCCGTTAGTGGTTACAGTACCTGTTAAAATTCTCTTGCCTCAGTCTAAACAAGGGGAAGGGAAACTTCGCCAATCCAGATGTTGTGAACTACAATCCCATAATGCTGACAAAGCATTAAGTGAGATGTAGTCCCCAACATCTGGCGTGTCAAAGGTCACCTTCCCTTGGTTTAGATAAACCTAAATTAAAAAGACTGTGCAATAAAGGTTAATAATAAAGTTAAAACATTAGATGTACAGGAGATTTTTAGAAAGATTGTGTAAGGCATATTCAGGGAGGTGTGACTGTGGCTGTATAAACCAAATGGATTACCTGCTAAATGGTAAGAAACCATAAAATTGTATTTATTGAGCTAAAGTTGTTTTGGTTATTCATTAAGGTGAAATTCAAAATGAATGTCAAGATGAAATTAAAAAAAAATATGAACGTTATGCTTTTAATTTGGCTACTCTGGCCATACGCAATTCACGCTATAGTAAATACCCCAGTAAGATTGTAACATATCTTCCCAACGTTCATGTGTAATTGCCATTACAGATAGTCCAATACACTAGACTGCTGCTGACTAAATTTTGCCAATTTCCCTGCCATTGTAAGTTAGGCAACCAAACAGTGCCTAACGGCCCAGAATTGCCAACAGTGTGTCAGTTAGACAACCACTAGAGGTGGAGGTAACCCTGCAATGTAATTATAAATTACCATTGCATGAAGAGGACAGGGACACTGTACCCAGACCACTTTAATGGGCTGTTAATAGTTCAATTAAAGTGATATTTTGCCACTCCATCTCATGTGGGCTACATCAGGATTATTGGTCTGCAACACTTGAAATGACAATCATTAATTTATAAAACTATGTTCAATGCAATGTCAGAATTTTTTTTTCCCTTTTCAACCCTCAAGCCTACAAACGTGCACTCTCCGCACATGCCAACTGTGTCTACAGGTGTACACAATAAGTTAGAGATATTTGTTAGGTCATACAAATGACGATCTCACATAGCCCCTCTCCCATGCCAAGTGCTATAACTCTATCTGTTAATCGTGTATTGTATCCTTTAGAGTTGCGCAAAGTAACAAATCCCAAAAGCATATCGATTAAATACCTTTAGGCCAAAAAATATGGTTTTGCAATTTAAAATCAAATACACAGCATAGTCATCACCATTAAGTTACAAGGGTACTTCGGACTGTGAATATACTTAAGAAATTAAGTTACACTTTTTTGTATTATAACACTACACGTGTACATGTGCCATAAAAATAAAATAAAAAAGATTCCTAGATATCTAAAACGTCGGTGGTTACACTTCACCTCTGAACATTACATTTTCAGTTCCATATAACAAGGGTTATATTTCAGTTCCATATTGCAAGAGTTACACTGAAACCTTTTACTTTATTAATAAAAGTAATCAACACTAGGGGATCATCAAGATAAGGTTAAACTGAACAAAAAAATTGTTATGATAGTTTGGTCTCCAGCTCATACGGGCTCATCAGTCCAGGCATATGGCTACCTGGACAACTCAGGGGACATGGCCCCAATACTAGGAATACAAATTACTCCTTAATAGCTAGTCTAATGTTCTGAGTCCTGAGTGCAGCCTTGTAATAATGACATAGTTATGATCAGTGAAGCTGTAGATCCTGTGTACACTCTGCACATGCTGTGTCCCCAAGTATTATTCTCTGTACACTGGGGGTCCTGCTTGATAACCTTGGTATATCAATTAAAGTGGTGATAGTTTGGTCTCCAGCTCATGTGGGCTCATGAGTCCAGGCATATGGCTACCTGGACAACCCAGGGGACATGACCCCAACACTAGGAATACAAATTACTCCTTAATATCTATTCTAAGGTTCTGATCCCTGAGTGCAGCCTTGTAATAATGACATAGTTACAGAGTTATGATCTGTGAAGCTGTAGATCAGGGGTCCTCAAACTCCCCCCTCCCCCAGATAGTGCTGAACTACAACTCCCATGATTCTTTGAATTACACAGATAGGCTGAGAATCATGGGAGTTGTAGTTCAGCACGCTCTGGGGGCGGGGGGGGGGTAGTTTGAGGCCCCCTGCTGTGGGGTACGCTCTGCACGTGCTCTGTCACACTCACCAGCCCGTCTATCTGCACTTGTTTCACGGCGTTTTCGGATGTGGAGGTGGCTGCGGCGGTGACGGGGGGAGCCGGGGTGGCCGTGGTAATAGCAGCAGCAGCGGCGGTGGTGGTGGCGGTGGTCGTGGCTGCGGTCGTGGCGGCGGGTGCAGCAGGGGCAGCGGCGGTGGGGGCGGCCGGTGTTGTTTCCTTGCGTGTCGCCATCTTCGAACAGCAAGCAAGACTGAGAGAACACGCGCGCCGGAAACAGGAAGTCGGGATGGTCGGGAGACACAGAACCTTCCCCAACGTCACTTCCGGCGGCGACCGACCTTGCGTCACTAGAAGGGTCCGGCGCCATGTTGCGAACGGGCACGTGCCCTTTCAGTGTTGGCTGCTGGCGCCTTGTGACGTGCAAGGCCCTGCTTATTATCACAGTCCTGTATCAGAGGACCCTGATCCCAAGTGTCCCTATTTATCGGGGACAGTCCCTATTCTGGGACCAAATTCCTCTGTCCCTCATTCTTACCTTAAAGGGACAGTTCAGGCATTTTGTGACACCATAACCACTTCATCTGAATTAATTACAATAATTGTGTGTTTGGAAATCAGTCTGTGTGAATAAGCTACATCTAAAATCTATGGCAATGTGCCTCAATACAGAATGCGCCTGTCATGGCTGACTATGTTTATTACCTATTATGTGTTAAATTTATATATAGATAGATAGATATACACCGTAGTGTGTACATTGTTTTATTTTTATTTTTTTGTAATATTGTATCCTATTGTAACAACGCAATGTTTTGTGGACCCAGGACGTACTTGAAAAACGTGAGAAATATCAATGTATCCTTTCTGGTAAATTGTTTATAATTAAATAAATAAATTATACATTTTAGTTGCATACAGGTAATTTCTTATTAATAAGTCACCTAAACTTTCACCGAACAGCCCTACCCTGACTACACCCCCCTTAATATCCTTAAAATTAGGGTGTCCCTCTTTGTCCATTAGAAATGTTGGGAGGTATGAATTATATCACACTGAGTTGTTTTTGTACTTGTAGTTAAAGGACCACTATAGGCACCCAGACCACTTAAGCTTAATAATGGTCCATCTAGGGTTAACCCTTTTTTCTATAAACATAGCAGTTTCAGAGAAACTGCTATGTTTATGTTAGGGTTAATCCAGCCTCTAGTGGCTGTCTCACTGACAGCCGCTAGAGGGCTTCCGCGTTTCTCACTGTGAGAAGACGCCAGCATCCATAGGAAAGCATTGTGAATGCTTTCCTATGGACTGGCTGAATGCGCGCGTGGCTCCTGCCGCCCATGCGCATTCACCCGAAGAGGGAGGAGAGGAGGAGGAGAGCTCCCTGCCCGGCACTGGAGAAAGAGGTAAGTTTAACCCCTTCCTCTCCATCCAGCCCGGCGGGAGGGGAACCCTGAAGGTGGGGGCACCCTCAGGGCACTATAGTGCCAGGAAAACGGGTATGTTTTCCTGGCACTATAGTGGTCCTTTAACGCGTGAGGATAGAGGATGACCAATTTACCAAGATTTCCAGTATGCAGACGTTTTGGATTTTATTTGGACAGTATATGAAAAGCACTGCCATCCTGACAATGTTTATTCGTACTGTGTGGGTTGCAATCTCACGTACGCACAAGAGTACAACAGGGACATCGGCTCTAGACAGCTGAAGTGCCAGGAGCAGAAGAGGAACTGCCTGAAAAAGATTGCAGCGTCCACGAGATACAGGTTTAGGTAAGTAAAACTCACCTTTACCTGCCCCCCCTGGCCACAGGAATCCCAGCGGCGATGTCACCATCTGGAATTTTTGCAATTCATATAAAGTCCACAGACATTGACAGTGCAGTTTTAAATTTAAGAATTCACTTTGAATTCTCAGTTTTGTAAAAAACCTAATAACACACTATTCAGATGCACTCATGTATTCTCTAACACTTATGCATTATAAAAACACATTCCTGCATTCACATCCTGATATGTATTCAACGTACTCACTTACACACTCAATTCAAATACACCTTTGTGTTCTTACACAAAAACACAATGCATTTCCATTCATTTGCATTACAACTGTAACAAACAAGGTCTTCCAAGATACAAATATCATCTGTTATTTTAAATCTTTGCATTCACATATATGTACACACGTACTCAACATTCTACACTAAACATACTTATACAACAAACAAGTAGAATGCTGCATGCAAATAAACTCATGCATTTAAATACGTTGGAACTACAAACAATTATATTTTAGCATCCTGACATTACAGAGAAATAAGTCCCTGCATTCACAAGCTCTGATACTTTAAATCTAAATGCACTCTTTTATTTAGGGATACATTGTGAAGCTACCTTCAAACTGAAATTACATTCAGGACCGGTGCAAGGATTTTTGGCTACACACGATAAGATGCATTTTGCAACCCACCCCTGAAATGTTATTTTTCTGTGTGTCTCTTAACCCCCCCTTTTGCCCCTTTTACCCATCATTTGCCCCTTTTGTGCATCTTACCACCTTTCTGTGTATCTTCTCCTTTTTGGTATTGTATTCCCTTATCGTCTCTTCATTATTATTGGCATGTATCTAGCGCCAACTTCTACAGCACTTTAAAATATCATAAAGGGGGAAATTTAACATTAATGGAGACATTTACAAAATGTTACCGGAACGATAGGTTTACTGGAACCCTGCTCAAACAAGCTTAGAGAAAGTGACTGTCAGGAGTTCTGCTGTACACTGATGGCTATCCCTTTGTGTCTATATGTTCCATAAAAATTAGTAAAATTAAAGGTTTATGTTTTTATAACATTCTTTTAAGGATACATTTTTTAATAGTATTTTTTTTAAGGCTTTTTAAACGGAAACACACAATACGTTTAATAACAGATTTAAAAAGATGGAGCGAAGACTAGGCTCTCAGTAGTAACGTCTATGGGTAATATAGGCTACTCACAAGTCATTTTTAATGTCTTACTACACGATCATAAAGGTCAAATTGGAGTACCAGTCATTCATAGAAGGACAGAAGAGGACAATTAAAATTACTTTGATAAATAAAACAGTACAAAATAAGCAAGATAAATACCAAAAAGCATTTGCCTTTTTTAGTTGGTTACACATGTATAGTTACTATAATACATATATACACACACACATATATATTTACACATATGCACTCCTACCTTATAATATAATGAATTCAGCCCGGTGCTCAGCAACACTATTAACAGCAAATCCAAGATCAGCCAGCACTCTAGGACTTTAGGAGGCTAGTCTTCTTTATTTTAACATAAATCCAACAGTCAACCTTTCAGTTCAATTTTAGAACATTCTCCTATCTTTTTTCCCGATAAAAAGTTCCAAATATGAACCGGTGACTGTTGGATTTATATTGGAATAAAGAACACCATATTCCTAAAGTCCTAGAGTACTGGCTTATCTTTTGATACAGCTAATTATTGGATGGATCCCATAAGTGCACATACATGTGGGCGGTGGTTTGTGTTGGGCATAGTGTGGGTGATGGTTTGTGGGGACATTGACATACCATTTCCCTGATGGTTCAGTGGGATCGCTGTCCTGTCTGCAGCTCACACCCGGTGGACCAAGTGTTTGAGTTCTCACGAGCTCCAGTCACAGCATAACACGCGGCAACTCTGTGAGCTTGTGAAAACTCCATTCCATAGTCTGCAGCTCACACCTGGCAGAGTTGCAGACAGGAGGCTCTCCTCAGGCAGACTGAACTAAGGGGCCCCACACCCTGCGGCATATGGGGCAAGCTGCCGGGCCCCCTCAGTCTGCCCTAAGGCAATAAGAGAGCCGCCTCGCTGCATATCTATGCAGCAGAGGTGGCTCGGGCTCTTAACGGCCGGGGCAGCAAAATGTTGCCCCTGTAAAAGTGCCGCCTGGAGCCAGGGCTCCAGTCCGTCCTATGGATGGGACGGCCCTGTATACAAGTATTGAAAACTACAAGTTTGCAATGGGTTCACTTTCTTGCTTACTCCTGATGTATGTCCAGTCGCTTGTTCCTCCTGAGGTTACTTTGGAAATCACAGGCTCCCACAGCTTGGAGATCTACCTGGAGGGAATAGTTTCACAAGGACCCAGGCACATCCTAAAACTTGCCATTTTATCTTCCATTTCTTTCAGTTAGAACCCTGCCTGCACACAGTTTTGATTATTTATTATCTGACTGAATATAAAGAGTTTTAAAATTGAAAGTATCTTTATACAGTGTATAGATAGTGTATAGATCATGGGTCGTCAACCAGGTCCCTACCGCCCACTAGTGGGCGTTTCAGGATTCCAGGTGGGCGGTAGGGATTTCGGCGGCTAAATCCTCTTTTTAAGAGGATTTCTCCTTTTGGGCGGGCGCAAGTTTTCAGTGACCGGCAGGAGGAAGTGCTCCCTCCTGCCAGGCCACCTTCTGGACCCCCAGATGCGGCAGAGTTCTAATCCGAGGCGGCGAGGGAGCTCTAACACTCTGCACTGCTCCCTTGCGCGAGATTTGCTGATGCCGCGGGAGCCGGAATATGACGTCATATTCCGGCTCCCGGCATCAGTAGACAGCCGTGAGGGAGCAGTGCAGAGAGGTTAGAGCTCCCTCGCCGCGTCTGATTAGCACACAGCCGCCCTCCAGGTAGGGAGGCTGGGTGGACATTTAATATTAATAATTTGTGTGTATATGTGTGTGTCTGTAAGCAGGCCCGGACTGGCCATCGGGCACACCGGGCAAATGCCCGGTGGGCCGCGGTGGCCGAGGCCGGCAGGGGAGGTCCCAGGATCTCCCCTGCCGGTCTATGCAGGGCCGGCGCTAGGAGAGTGTTTGCCACGACGGGCCGGTGGGGAGATCAAGGATCTCCCTGACCGGCCCACA